CATGACACAGGAATGTTTGTCAAAATATATTTTTCATTTGACACTATGTGTCAGTGTGAGTCGTATTGCAAAATATCTATTACACTTATATGACACTGATCAAATGTTAATGAATTTTTAATACTGACAGAATTATAATTACAAGTAATTTAGAGAGCAATTCTCAAATGAAATAGAATGGTCCAGAGGCCATTTCTGCGGTAACATAGCCGATAACAAGGCGTTGTTATGGCAACGTTACCTTATCCTTCTTTGTTGGTAGTAACAACTGTGAAAATGCTGTCAATTTATAGTGCGATCAAGCGTATTTTACTACATATATACAAACGAAAAAAAGAATGTTATGATAACTGCATCTTTGTGATGTGCATTTATAACATACACAGATTTTACTACCAAGAAAGAAAGATAAGATGGCGTTGCCGTAACAACGCTTTGTTAATGGTTGTGTCACCGCGGAATTGGCCCCATAGAGGCAGAATTGGCGTTGAAAAAGTTGGTAGTCACAAACGGTGAAAAACCTATATATTTACTGTGCGATCAAGCGTTTTACTCCAAATCTACTACTCGAGCTAACCTCCAAATGCCTCAAATGTTAAAATTTTGATATATTTTTTAAAATAAGTATTTGCTTAGGAAGAACTACCAAGAAATTTTGGTTGGATTGCAGACTAACTTAAAGTTAATATTGGGAGCTAAAATTTCCAGAGATTTTTTTTATCAATTTGAAAGCATTTGAGCAAGCCCCTGCAAGCATGGCACTTTATAAATATCCATATTAAGGACCACGCTAATATATATAACGATAAATATTTATCAAATTAAATACAGACATATCATGATACATCATAAGAAGTCGTTTAACGCATTTTACAAACGATACGTAACACATTAATCAAAATTATATTAAATATATACATACATACATGCATATATGTTCATATGTATATATTTGTATATAAGACAAAATTGGCAACCAGCCAATGGGCAATTCATATAATATCTTTATTACCTCATAAACATCATGTCCATTAATTCATGCCGCGGTTTAGATTTTTAAACAAACTTCAGAACACTTTAAAATTATATTTATATACAGTAAAACCCCGTTAATACGATCATACTTCAAACCATTTCCCGCATAATACGCCGGTCTACTTACTTTGACTCTTTCCACTCGCGAATTCCGAGATGTATATAAATTTTACTGCCGGAGGCATCCGAGTGGAAACGGTTAAAACACATTGTTGTTGGTTCTATTCCACTTAATGCAATTTCTCGCGTAAGTCGCGTTTTTGATCCGGTCTCTATAAAATTGTCTTAACAGGGTTTTTTAAATGTAAGTGCTTATAAATTGGCAACGACCGCAATGTAGTAAAAACTTAAGTATGTTTACAAGAAATATAAACATATATGTATAAACAAAAATCGACCGATTTTTATAAATCCCGGAGAAGAATTATAAATTAAATATTATAAACAAATTATAAGTCTATTTACCTTATTTCCTTTTTTCAGAATTTAATATAATGTCGGAGGAAGTAGTAGCACCAACTGTCCAGGAACCTGAGCCTATTCCTGAAATCAGGCATCGCACATTCAAACATTGGGTCAGGTCTGTTGGAAATAAATTTAATAATAATATAACCAATACTAAATTACGAAATATAATTAATAATAAGTTTTAAATAAATAATAAGAAATTAGTCTTATTATCTTATTCTTTATATTATTCTACAATATAATAAACTTAGATAAGTTATTTGAAAGACTAAAGCCATAGATGAAGCGTTTAGTACATAATAGTTCCGGAACCAGACATAGGGGCGCGCAAGTGTACCATTGGAAGCTTTTTATCTTATTTTCTTGTTTTTTTATCGCAAGGTTAATTACATAACGATCACAAAATGATTGAAATACAATTGCAAAATGATTTTACATTCCATCAAATTTAAAAATATCTTATGAATTAAATCCAGAGGACGAAATGCATTAAATAACCTTAACAAGTAGCCTGAATTAATATTTATCAATATTACTCATTGCTTTCTATGTATAAACAAAAAGATAAACTAGTGGGGTGTATGGCATCGTGCCTTAAGGCAAATTGCTGGAACTTCCCGCACCATAACGGAAAGTTCGAGGAATATTGAATGTTTTCAAATAGATTATTATTAATATTGTAACATTATCTAATATTTATAAGAATTTAATAAACTGAATTGCAAAGTTGAAATTATTTGTTTAAAGTATATTAGAATTATAGACAAAATCAAAAATAAAATGTGAATTCTTTTCGATATACAAAAAAAATATTAAAGAAAAAATTAAAAATAAAAGTTGAAACAAAATTTTTTTTTCCAAAATCAATTATTTTGTTAAGACGAGCAGAAAGTTCTTTGAATCATTTAAATCGGACGCTTAGTTCTCTCAAAAACTGCCATTTTTCACACATTTAGCTCCGTATCTTCTAAAAACACTTCTCCCAATCATTACTAATTGAATGTTTTTTAGATCATTCAAATCGGATGCTCCGTTCTCTCAAAACCCCGATTTCTATTTTCTGCACTCTTTGCTCTTTATCTCCGTAACCGCTAGACCTGCCTTTGCCAAAAACTAATCAGCACATCTCCCTATCAATAGGAATCGAATGTTTTTTGAACCATTCAAATCGGTTGATCCGTGCGCCCAAAAACGTGACTGAAAATTTGCATCCATACATACATACACACACACACATCCATTTTTTCTGAAGTATGCCTAGATAGGGAAACAAAACATAATCTTCGTTTTACATAATCTTCTCACCACATTTATAATTAATTTAGGATTAAATAACAAATTTATTCTCTACCAGAGCCAGATTGCAAAGAAAATTTCTTTTGCATTAATCAACAATAGATAAGACCTTCGACAAATCAATGGCAATGGTCAGATGATTCGTATTTTGCCAACTCCTTCACTTTTATGTCAACTATTTTACTTGATGTCCGTTTCAGGACAGTTGTAAAAATTATTAAAATAACAAAAAAAATATTCTTAATTAAATAATTAAATTTTGAAGTAACGGTTAAACGGCGAATACAATGCCGTTAATAGTTCCACAGTGATACCAACTGCATCTACAATGATTAATTGCAAACACACACACACATATATATTATATAAGTTTATTTTCAATCGAATTTATTATTTTCCCCGACGGACAAGATTTATGGCACTCGATTTGATTTTTATTTATTTTTAATTTTATATTCATGTTTTTTTTCTCAAAGATGTCACACGAGCGCGAATGCAAAAATCTATTTTTAATGAAATCTATGTCGGTCGTTTAAAATAGATAAAAAATGTCAACGCTAGGATAAACATAAAAACAGACATTGATTTATTAATGTATACATATATATATATATATATATATATATATATATATATATATATATACAGCCAGATGCAAAAGTTTGCTCATATTAGATTTCCCATTTTTATTTTACCTTTATTATATGCTGAAGCAATTAAAATTGAAGTGATAGGAGTGATATCAAATAAGATTTTAAAGTGTACCGAGACACATAATATTACACATTAATATAAAATATTTAATTTTGTGAAAATGATCAAATACATCATTCAAATTAATCTGATTTAAAAATTACATTAATAAATAAATCCCCAAACACAATTCTCAATCTATGATCAAAGATGGCGTTTACCATAGATCAAAGATGGCGTTGACCATAAATCAAAATGGCGTCGACCATAAATCAAAGATGGCGTTGACGCTACCAGAGCGCTACAAAAAGTAATTAATTTGTTTCAAATAAGCTATTTTGTAACAAATATACTATTTGTAAACAATTAAACAAAAGCTAAACAAATCTCTTCAAGGAATTCATTTAAGTTGTTATATTATAAAAGCACCATAAATAAATTTATTTCATAAATAATTAATCTAAATTATCTTATCTTTTCCTTTTTAGGCCAAAAACCCAACAATACCATTACATAAATGATTACATGAGGAACTATTACGACGATGTCTTGGATTACTTGGACAAACGTCAAAAGGGTCTCAGGGTGCCCCCACCGAGACCCCAATATTGGGCCGAGAGGGCCCTAAGGACATACTTAAAGTTAGTAGAACACACACACGTACATATTTATCTATATAAAAATAATTTATATTTTATCCTTTAGCAAATCTTCATCCTACAAACAAGCCGAAATAGAAGACACCATTTTGAGGTCACACATCAGGACAGACAACAGATTCTATCAAGCCCATTACAAAGGCTACAACGAACGTAGATATACATTCAATTTATAGATAATTTGTTTGAATTTGATTGTGAATATGATGTGAATTAATAGAAATAAAAAGATCCATTTCATGTATAGCTAATTGTAATTTTTTTTAAAACAAAGGCACAGTCTAAATTCAACATGGCGGCGGGGTCTCTAAAATTCTCCAACATTTAAATTGTTATTATGTAAAAATACTAGTATATACGTTCTTTGATTAATTTAATTAATATAAAATGGTAATAGATTTATAAAACAAATTAACTTTATTGCTAATTTGTTAATTGTAAACTGCGTCAAAACTATCAAAATAGGTTGATCCGTGCGCCCGAAAACGTGGACGAAAAATTGTATCCATACATACATACACACACACATCCATTTTTTCTGAGGTATGCCAAAATGTTCAGAAAACTTCAAAACGTCGAGAAATGTAAAAATTTTCGGCCCATTTTAATAACTTACCCTACGGGAAGTTAATAAATTAATTTATAAGTAAATAAAAGTATTCCGAGTGGATTTATTACACATTATTGAAAACGAAGGAACACGTTAACTCTCGGAATATTTTCTGAAAGAAAATTTTCAAAAATCAATATTTTTTATAATTGAACCAGTTTCTAGAGGACTTTAATGATTTAGTGTGTTTATTGGGGCCAAGTACTCTATCGTTATACCAAGTAAATCGTCTAATTTTAATTTTAACTAACGTCAAAAAAACTACTCATTTTCTTAAACTTTGATGAATTTTTAAAACTAAACTACTTGTCGTAAGGCCGTAATATCGCAGTAAGTTCTATAAGACCATGATATATATCGCTAAAAAAAATTCCACAAAAATCGGCTTAAATTTTTTTTTAACAGTTAATTACAAGAAAACGGCTCGGTAGATTTTCACCTAAAACTAATCAGTATCATTACCAACTAATATCTTTCGAACAGTTTTTGATTTTTTGAAATCTGTTCGGTAGTATGAGCTTAAATGGTTTAAAAACGAAAAGTTTAACACTTTTTTTTCAAATTACAAAGAAACGGCTTGGCAGATCGTCGCACAAAACTGGCAAACAATAGTCCTCATCGAAATACATCAAATGGCTTTTAAATTTCTGAAATCGGTTTAGGTTATTAGGTTTAGGCGTCGATAAAAGGTCTAATTTTAACAAATGCCTAAAAAACGATACCAATTTTTGCAAACTTTGACGAATTTTTAAAGTTAAACCAATTGTCGCAGGGCCGTAATATTTTAGTATGATCTAGAAGACTATGGTATCTACCGTCAAAAAAATAATGATAAAAAATGGTCGAATTTTTTTTTTTTTACATTTTATTACAAGAAAACGGCCTGGCCGATCTTTACCAAAAACTAATCAGTACGATTCCCAACCAATATCTTTCGAACGGTTTTAGAATTTTCAAAATCGATGCAGAATTGCGGGCTAAAACGTGGACGAAAAATTTTCCACTTTTTGCTATTTATAAAGAAACGTCTCGGCCGATCGTCGCACAAAACTGACAAACGATAGTCCTCACCAAGATACATCGATTGGCTTTTAAATTTTTGAAATCGGTCCAGTCGTTTTTGAGAAAATGTCGATTACGGCAAAAAATCTATTCACATACACACACACACGTACACACGCACATATACTTTTTCCAAATTTGGTCTCATTCTATTCAGAATGGCTTGAAACGTCGAGAAAACATAAAATTAGCAAATCGGATTTTTTGATGAAAACATAAACTTCTCCTTCGGGAAGTTAAAAAGTTGTATGAATATAAATAGCCAATGAAAGAAATGTAAAAATTAGATATTTTTGAGTGGAATACCCTAGGGTAGAAAGATTTGCATCATAAATTATAGTAAATGATATAATTTGTAATTTATATACTGAAATAAATTTTCTTTCTATTCTGTTCTGTTGTTCAAAAAGTAATTGAAATTTCAATTAAACATGAGTTTTGCACAAATAAATTATAAGAATATCCATAAATAAATAAAATAAATAGATAATTGATATATAATGCCCTTGAATCATAACCAACTCGTTAAACTTTTATGCAATTCATATAAAATATAATCAGTTTTTTTGTTGCATATATATTAAACAAATATATAAAATATATTGAACAAATATATTAAATATTTGTTCTGCAACATATCAAAAATCTAATTTATTTGTAATTTTATATTGCCAAATGTTTAAGATTCAAATAAAATAATTCTTACCTTGTTAAATAATGCAAATCCTTCAAGATTTTGTATATCGGCAAAGTTTCACATTCACAATAAGTCTCAAACAACTTATTAAATATTATACAAATCACTACTTCGATATAGCAATTAAATTATAACACATGTATTTAGAATCACAATCTTCATATATATTAAAAAGGTTAACTTATATATTTAAAATATGATCACTTATTTTTATAGAACAATAAGTTGTCTCTGATGCACAAAACAAGATCACGTATTATAAATACATCGACACATGTAATATATAAGAAAGTATATTACAGCAAAAAATATTTGTTCACAAATTGAATTATCTTTTTGCATTCTAGCAATTCAGCCTCATTTTTTCTTCAATTTTTGTAGGAACCAAATTTCTGCGGTGTTTCCTCTTCTCTCATTTTTGAACTACAATCAGAGCATATTAGTCTTTTAGCTATTTTACTCGAACTCCACCATTTTACACTGTTTTGGCAACTCAATGGTCAATATATCTATATTTATTAGAACTTCTGATATGTTAAAAAATCGGTTTTGGTTGAAAATATTTTCATATCTGTTTATCTCATACATATTATTCAAATAGTTTATTATGAGCATTTGGAATTAATTCTTTAATAAGGTATACACAGATTATAATACCTTCAAAGATTTTGTATGGTTTTATGAGTACTATTTTAGTCCTTTTATTTGATAACTCGATCTTTTTCATTCAGAACAAAACATTTTTGATTTTATCTCCTCCAATTCCAAAATTGTTTTGAAATTTGGTCTCAGAGTAGAAACGGTGCATTTATTAATGTTTGCAAAGTTTTCAGATAAAGTGAATAACTATAATAATTAATGGAATTAATTCTTCAATAAGGTATACACAATTCATAATACCTTCATAGATTTTGTATGGTTTTATGAGTACTATTTTAGTCTTTTTATTTGAAAACAATATTTTTCCTTCAGAACAAAACATTTTTTACTTTATCTCCTCCAATTCCAAAATTGTTTTCAAATTTGGTCCAAATGGTAATAATAAATGAACAACTTTATTTATAACTTGTAAATTCCGATAATACAATCATATTTGTAAAGATTTCTTTACCAGAATTCTAATATAAACAGCATATCTAAATTATTATAGTAGCTTATGTAAACTCTTGGATTCGTCTACTAATTGATTTAGTTATATTTATATACACTGTTATTTTCCTGAGCACAGAAGTATTATGTGTAGAACATTTATGCAAAAAAACACCACCTGGTCATAATAATATTGTTAAAATCAATTTCGATAATAAGTTTCTAATTATAAATAGAAAGTCATGCTTACAATCATCCTTATGTAAGTATACAAGAATTAGAATCCGGACAGCAATGACTGTAAATTTACAATAGTTAGTATCGAGGTAGCAATTTTCAATTTGTGAACTGTTCTACATTTGTTTTATAACATTCTCAAAGAAAATCTGCATTATGGGTAAACAAATGCTGTTTAAGACTTCCCATCGTTGTACCTTTAATTTTACATATTTTACACTTATGAGGACGTTCTCGTGTTAGTACCTAAAATGGCTCTATTAAAGAACTTTCTTCTCTTGTTAGTTTCATATTTATAAGACTGTTTTCTCCAGTGAATAAGAATGTGCATAGACATTCTATAATAATAAATAATAAATTTGTATTAGTATCCTTTTGTACATATAAAGGGCTTCTTGACATTGTTATTTCTGATGTGTCTAAATAAAGTACTTTAATAAACTTGCTCACTCAAATAAACATGTTCTTTTTTTCTTTCTTCGTTGATAAACACGTCACATTTAAGACTTCCCATCGTTGTACCTTTTAATTTACATATTTTACATTTATGAAGACGTTCTCATGTGAGACCCTAAAATGGCTCTATTAAATTAATTTCTTCTCTTGTGTTTCATATCTATAAGACAGTTTTCTCTAGTAAATAAAAATGTGCATAGACATTCTATAACTATAATAATAATAAATAATAAATTTGTATTAGTATCCTTTTGTATGTATATAGGGCTTCATGACATTGTTGTTTCTAATGTGTCTAAATAAAGTGCTTTAATAAATTTGCTCAATCAAATAAACATGGTCTTTTTGTCTTCTTTGTTGATAAACAAGTCACATTTAAGACTTCCCAACATTGTACCTTGTATTTTACATATTATATTTATGAGGCCGTTCTCATGTTAGTACCTAAAATGGCTCTCTTAAAGAAATTTCTTCTCTTGTGTTTCATATCTATAAGAGCATTTTCTCGAGTGAATAAGAACGTGCATAGACACCCTATAATTATAATAATAAATAATAAATTTGTATTAGTATTCTTTTGTACATACAAAGGGCTTCTCTGCATTGTTGTTTCTGATGTGTCTAAATAAAGTGCTTTAATAAACTTGCTCATTTGAATACACATGGAATTTTTGTCTTCTTCATTGATAAACAAGTCACATTTAAGACTTCCCATCGTTGTACCTTGTATTTTACATATTTTATATTTATGAGGACGTTCTCATGTGAGTACCTAAAATGGCTGTCTTAAAAAACTTTCTTCTCTTGTTTTTTATATCTATAAGACTATTTCTTGATTAAAGAAGAATGTGCTCCTTTGTGAAGAATCCTTTTGTACATATATAAGGATTCTCGACATTATTGTTTCTGATGTGCCTAAATAAAGTGCTTTAATAAACTCGCGCATTCGAATAAACTTCTCTTGTTAGTTTCATATCTATAAGACAGTTTTCTCGATTAAATAAGAATGTGAATAGACAAATAGCCGTATTACTATGCTTTTGTACATATATAGGGCTATCGACATTGTGGTTTCTGATGTGTCTAAATCAAGTGCAAGATCTTTAATAAACTTGGTCATTCAAATAAACTTGGTCTTTTTGTATTCTTCCTGGATGTAGATGTCACATTTTAGGTAGTAAGAAATTGATAGAAAGTTCTTCTGTGAATGACACTGATGGTGTTTTTTAGAGCTCGAGGAAATTATGTCTTTGATTCTCAATATATTTTCTCATAATCTAAACTTAATTCTAAGAATTAAAATTAAAATAATTAAATATTATTATTACCACATTTCCAAGTTGAATCTCTTCTATTTTGCGGTTAAATTATTATAAATTAGTTTTGTCATAAATTTTATACACAAAACTTCAAACTTATATTATTTATTAATGAATATTTTTTATAAATTTTTATATTGTTTTTTTTTATTATAAATATAACAAATTATCATTATAAACACTAGCAAAACTTTTATTTAATAAAAATAACTTTTGCTTAATATTTTTTGACATTTTTAAAGCAACTGTATGAACTTTGAAACTATTAGATCACGTAACAAACATTGCAAAAAAAAAAAATCAAAACCTAACCGGTAAATTTAAATATTTTTAAATAAAACTGTTTTTTAAATATAAATAATTATGAAATATTTTAACAATTATGAATCTGAAAAAATACAATAATTGATTTTTTTAATAATTAACACTAGAAACCATCACAATTAAATAAGATGTTAATCATATGTTAATCTAGTTCTTTATGTTCAGAGATGATATTTATGTGAATGGAGTTATTATTGAGTTTTGTAATGTAACATAATATTATTGATGATTAAATTCTATAGCAGTTTGAAAATATATCTGTAAATTGCGTTTAAAATTCTATAAAAAAAAGGATGATGAGAAATTTAACCCTTTCTAAGAATTCGCAAAATGCATCTGAAAATTACCTGCAACTTCAAAAAATTGTATGCCTATTTAAATGTTAAAAACCTTCAAATAAGGTGTTCATACTCAATAGATTTTGGAGTATATCGAGTTGTTGTAAGACTTAAAACAAGACTATATTGACTATATTATACAAAATTTAGTTTTGTGCAAAATTCTTTTATACATCACTCATACTAATCGAATAGTTTAAATGTTTCAAATTTTCAAATAAAAAAAATCCAAAACAAGTGCTTCTTCAATACAAGCAGAAAAGTTTCTGAATCATTCGAATCGGATTATTAGTTCTTTCAAAAACTGCCATATTTTGCACATTTAGCTCGATATCTTCAAAACGGCTAGACCTGCCTGTGCCAAGATCTAATCACCACTTTTCCCCATCATTTCGAATAGAATATTTTTTTAATCATTCAAATCGCTTGCTCCGTTCTTTCAAAAACTCGATTTCTATTTTCTGCTCTTTTTGCTCTGTATCTCCGAATCGGCTGGACCTGCTTCTACCAAAAGCTAATCAGCACATTTCCATACCATGGTATATATTGCTATAGGAATCGAATGTTTTTTGAACCATTCAAATCGGTTGATCCATGCGCCCGAAAACGTAGACAAAAAATTGTATCCATACATACATACACACATATCCTTTTTTTCTAAGGTATGCCAAAATGTTCAGAAATCTTCAAAACGTGAAAAAATACAAAAAAATTCAGTTTTGATTTTTGGACAATTACAATAAAGTTAATTAATTAACTGTTTTTTAAATATAAATAATTAAGAATAATAAAATATTAAACGGTAGTCCGCCCGAAGACAGGCCCATGCATAGATAAGTAAGCATAATGGCATATGGGTCCATGGTGTGAGAGCCACCACAAAATCAAAGATTCCTTTTCCCTTGCACCACATTTCAAAACTCTAGATAGTTTTTGTCGGCCTTTCTTAGAGTCCATGTCTCTGATCCGTACAGAGCTATGCTCCAGATATAACACTTTATTAGTCTCTATCGATGAAAAGTGAAAATTTAATTTGTTTCTACCTATAAATATTTAAATATTAACCAGATGCACTATAAATAGAAAAAAAAACTATTTAAAATAAGTTCATTTTAGAAGAAGTCTTTCAGGGACAAGATGACTTTATGACAAAACTTAAAACAAAACAAGTATTATGAAAAAATTATATTATATTATATTGTCAACAACCCATATATAATTATTTATTTAAACAATATTATTTTAGTTAAATATAAAAATAAATATTTAGCATTAATCGTAATCTATATGCATACATACAATAACTTATAATGTGAAAAGCGACTAAACATTGTAACCTCATACCATTATATGAATAATATCTGAAAGCATATTATTGCTAAATGAAAGCATTCGAAGACTTATTGCAACATTTTTTGATTGTGATTAAAATGATGAAATATTTTGACTAAAATATGATTTATTAATAATAATTTCAATTAATAATTCTTACAATGTAAGTATTATTTTTTTTAGGCAGGGGCTTCCTCGGGTGCAGCAGTAATAGCTTCATTTTCAGTGGCTGGTTTCTCCTCCCCCTGTACGGCAGTCCCTTCGGCAGCCCCTTCGGCAGGCTGCTCACCACCTTCACCACCTTCAGCTGGCTTCGTCTCACCTTCCTTCGGTTCTTCTCCAGCAGCTTCTTCAACTTTCTCCTCGACTTTCTCTTCAGTCTTCTTCTGTTTCTTCTTTTTCTTTGTCTTGGTCTCTTCCACAACTTCCTTCTCTACATCTTCTTCCAATGTGAAAGGTCCTTCGGAGTATCCAGGCGGGAAGAATTTTTTGCACTCGACTTCTCCAATTTCAGCATTAGGACTTACGTAGACAGGACCGAGTTGAGCTAGAGATAGTAGGCCAGCACTTGGTTTCTTCATGACCATGACGACTATTTTTTGACCAGGTTGTGGTCTTTGTTGTTCGTATTCTTTAATTGATTTAGCTATGAGTTCTGCTGTGCTTGGATTCGCGGAGGTGAAGACTCCCATGTTCATGATGTAAGCAACGTTTTCCTTAACCATGTCCATGACGTCTTTCTTTTTGAAAGCGTCGAATATAATAGCAACGTGCGGCGGTATTGATGAAGGGGGTTGAGGTATATATTCTGCTGCCACCGAAGGAAACAAAGCTGCCAATGCGGATCCTCTAGCAATGTTATTAGTAGGTGTATAAATACCTGCTATCAGAATTGGTTCTTCCTCGTGGACTGCGTATTCCTCCTCCACGTAGCTTTCGTCTCTGGAATAATCCCCCTGGGACATTCTGTCTGCATGTTTCTGGGATGCATCCGGACTGGTTTTAACAAATTGGCCCCATTCACCCATCATCTCGGGATAGGATGCCTTCAGCACTTCATCAACATCAGAATCACTCGGTGCACTGGTGGACACATCCGAAGGTGCTGGTGCTGCAGCAGTAATAGCTTCATACGGTTGCGTTTCTTCTTCACCGTAGCCTTCACCCATGAGTTCGAGCTCAGGAGGTTCTTCCAATTTCTCACCAGTATATTCGAGTATAAACCTATCACCTAAACCACTTTCAATAATACTTATTAATGCTTCTTCGATAGACGACATTGTGAATTCTTCCTTAGTTTGAAGCAAAATTATCATGCTTAAGCCTTTGGAGAGAACACGTAAGGCTGCTGGATGGAATGGTTCGGCACCAAAAAAACATTCATCAATAACAGTGTTTTCTAACACAACTTTTTCGAAGGTTACAATTTGCAATTGGAGTTCTTCGCAGTGGTCCATAATGTTTGACAAAGCATCGAGAGCATGTGGCCAGAGGATTAGTACACTGTGATCAGGCAAGCCTTCGGATACAGCCACGGCCACTTCCATTCGGTACTCATCTTGTTTTTTCTTCAACAGTTCTTGCTCCAAACGTATAGCTGCTCCATGTAACTCTTCCAGTTCTGCAAACCGTTTTTTCTCCTCGGGAGCTATAGAAGTAATAGGCATGGACACACGCTCCTTTAATCCTGCTTGGACATCCTGTTCCTTCTTGACCTCCTGCACAATCATGCGCATCAGACGCGGCGCATCCGGTCCAAACATGAGGTTGGTCATCCTGCCTTCTACGATGAACATCCACGTGGGTTCGCTTTTTTTCCGGAACCTCTGCAGTTCTTCGATGGCATCCGCTTTGGCGGTGACGTAGGTGATGTTCTCGCCTCCGACTTCTAGTTTTACTTTCCTGAGATTGCCGCACATGCCGACGCAGGGGCCGCACCATTCCGTATAGACATCGATTAGGATGACACCTTTCTTTTCGGTTTTTATCTTTTCCCAATCCTCCTCGTTGGTTACGTCTATTTGTAGAGCGACTGTCGCCCCCTTCTTAGCCATGGGGTAAAGGAAATAACTTGGCAATAAATATAAAACAGACTCAGGTAAATTGTTAGGTTCTTTGGCACAAGACTCAGCTAATTGTTTCAAGTTGACAAATAGAAATCAATAACAGGTAACAGTTTGGCATCACCATAGCAACCTAAACTAATTTGGAATTTTTATACATTATCATATATTTGTGACAAAACGAAAAAACGTTTATGTTCTCGCCAAAAAATTCGACTTACTAATTTCTTGTTGCAAGTTGTAACGTCATGAGTACAAAATTACTAGAAAGGTTGACAAAACATATAATTAGCAAATCGAATTCTTTTTCGAGTTATAAAAGTTTTAATAAACAAATTTAATATTTCATCGATATCACAATCTCATAAAATGTTGCAATCGTCTTCCAACTATCAATATCAATTTGTGTGACCTCAGTCAATAATTATTAATTATTAAATTTTCATAATTATCAATATGTATGCATTGTGTTCACTTTTGAGTATTTACAATAAAATCTACTTCACTAAACTATCTCTAGAAATTAGGTTTTTGGTCAATTTGTTATAACAAACATATCGATACAAATGATATGTACATATATACTAATCTAAGCAAATCTAATCGTGCAAAACTTAAACAATAAAAATGTAAAAAAAAAGTTAATAAACTTAATATAGTTGAAAATTAAGTATATAATTAATTACGTAAGACCTGCAGGTTTTTATAAATCACAATCAAGCAATATCTATAATCACAGTTTCAAATTGCATTTTTTATAATTCTAACAATGATTAGATAATTTTCTTTGTTTATTAAAACATTTCTTAACTTTTTTGATGAAACCATACTAAGAATGTAATTCAAATTTAGTAAACAAACTTTGAATTTCTTCAATACAAAATGTCCCACATTTAAAAAAAAAATCATTGAGGCTGAATTTTAACAGATAAAGCATATCAAAAGTTTAAACTTCTTCGATACAAAATGTCTTCAATTCAACCATTGTTATTTTTTTTTATAATAATAATAATTAAATATCATAATAATAATATTTTAGTTTCATTAAACTATGTAATGGTTATTAGTTTAAATAATAAGCACAGGACTACATGATTCATCAGCACGAATTACATTTATATAGGTTTTGCTAAACAAAAATATATTTGAAGTGAAACTTCTAATGCGACTTGATTTTGGTTAGTAAAGTAGCTAAAAGTGGAATAATAGGTGAATTTGCTTGAAATTAACAAAGTGAAAAATATATGCAGTGCATTTGTTCCAGTTTTTTGCATAATTTTTAAAAACTGCTTCAAATTTTCAAAAAAAAATTGTGTATTACTTTTTAACTTATAAAATTATATAAGTTTCTAATTAAATTCAAATAAATAAAATTTCATAATTTCAAATTATCATAAAACAACGACGTAAAATTCTCAAAAAATAAATAAAAGGAGCATTTTCTCAGTTCCTGTTTAAATTAAAATGGTATATAAAAAATGTCTAGTTGAAAAAATTAAATTTAAAGTAACTAATTGCTAATTATAAATTTGTTAAATAATTAAATATTGTTATATACACGTTTTTTTGTAAACTCAAACTTTTATAAATTATCTAACATGAATCGTTTAAATTAAAATCAATATATGACTTAAAGACAATTTGGGCAATTATTAGATATTAATTATTCCAATTATAAAAATGGTTATACAATTTAATTTATTGTTAATTTAATCAAATATTAATTTATTATTAAAAGTTTTAATAAAAAGTACTTAATTTTACATGCTATAGAATATTTTTTGTATACAATTTTATTTTTTATTAATTGAAGCAAATATTAATTTATTATTAAAATTTTTAATCAAAAGTATTTCAAGTACTTAAAGCACAAGCTTATTGTAAATTTAGTTAATTATTTGTTTAATAATAAATAGCACTGAATTAAATTATTACGAAATAAAAACAGGTCTTAAAAAATCTCCTGTATATAAAATTTAAAGACAATGTAAAGTCAAATATTTTGATAATTTTTAGATATTAAATTATTTCAGTTAAAAATCATTATAAGCATGTGAAATTAATTTTTGTAATAATAAATTAATATTTGATTAAATTAACAATAAATAAAACTATATAACAAAACATATTCTATAAAGCAATTTTTAGATAATAAATGTTTGATAAAAAATGACGATAACATATTTGATTAAATTAACAATGAATAAAACTGTATAACAAAAAATTGGATAATTGAAGCAACTTTTAGATAATAAATTGTTCACGAATTAAAAATGTTTATGCACAAGCTTATTGTAAATTTAGTTAATTATTTGATTAATGATATATTTTTTTTAATAATTAAGGTTCAGTAATAATATAGCACTAAATTACAGGTATTAAAAAATTTCCTGCATATACAATTTAGAGAAAACGTAAAGTCATATATTTTAGTAATTTTTAATTAAACGATTAATTTGTTTAAAAATTAAAAACGGTTATATACATAATAAATATTACAAAAATAACAAAAACTTAACCCTTTCCACTCGCTAATTGCATAATCAGTACGTATTTTGCCACCGGAACGGCGGCATCCAAGTGGAAAGGGTTAAATTAGATATAAAATGTATCCAGAAAAAATAATTAGGATACCACATAAAATTATGGCTTCTTGAAAATTGATTTTAATCAATTTTGTCTGAAAAAAACGTAAAATCAATTCCTATCCCTTCCTATACATAATAAATATTACAAAAATAAAAGGAATTTAACCCTTTCCACTCGCTAATTGCATAAGAAGTACGTATTTTGCCATCGGAGCGGCGGCATCCGAGTGGAAAGGGTTAAATTAGATATAAAATGTGTTCACGAAAAATAATTAGGATACCGCATAAAGTTATAGCTTTTTGAAAACTTATGTTAATAAAGTTTGCATTAAAAAAAACTTGTGAAATAAATTTTTATCTCTTGCTTTCTATTTCTGCATTACGAAGTTTCACTTCATTATATAATTAGCTTAATTTTAAATGTTAAAGCACAAGACACAGATGCTTCAAAGCAGAAGTTTTAAAAGTAAAATGTGTAAAAGAGGTTTATAAATAAGAAAACCCTGTCCTTGGGCAGAAAACTTACTATGAATTAACAAATAAATACAGATATAAAAAATAGTGTATTACAATAAACAATTACTTAACTAATAACTTCAACACACATTATATATTTTATATCACTTACTATCATTATTTACACCACTTACAACCTTATATATAAAAAACAGCCATTTTGTTAAGCGAGAATCTTACATGGATCCTTTAACTGACATCTGATGAAATCAATGTTTGCAATCTCTCAGCATAAATACTTTTAGCATAATTGATCTGTCGACTGACTGATAAAGCTATAGCTTCACTATCACATCTAACTCTTGGCCTTTTAACTGCAACATCACCATGTAAAGTGTGACTTGTATTAACTGTCACCTTTAACTCGATGTAATGCAGATGTCTGTCGGATTCCGCCGCTTTAATGTACTTGCAGTTCACCAGATCACTAGAAAAAAAGATAATTGATAAGTAGTAACATGAAGAAAATCTATCTATTATTCCCTTACCTTAAATGTACTTCAATTACTACATTAGCCCTCTCAGGAGGCGTCCCTGTAAACACTCGAACCCGTTCTGTAGACACCAGAACTCTCAAATCCTCCTGGGGGCCTCTACGAATCGATTCATAACCTATAAACAACTCAGCAAAGTTTCTTTCATTCAATGCAAACAGATACTGTTGTCCAAGGGCGTGTCTCGGATTGTATGCTGGTAAGAGCCCTCCTGGACCACTTGACACGCAACGTGGAAGCCTTGTGCGTTCTGGAAGAGCTCTACTCGAACTGGATAAAAGATAATTGGTTATTGAACAATTATTATATAAAAGTTATGCAGCAGTACCTTCTACTGGAGTCTCGTACGGCTGTCGCAGTCTCTGAAGCTAAATCTAGCACTCCAACAATAGGTTTGGTTACTGTACCGACTAAACCTTTACCCAAACCAGAAAACAAACCCTAAAAGAAATAAAAAAACAAATAAGAATAGTTTTCTTAACACAAAACTTCAAAATTTATTATAATTATCTACAACTGTTACTATTATTACCTGAACCCCTTCTGCAGCAGCTCCTTCATAAGTCTGTTTCACCAGACTGGTGACTCCCCCTAACAAACCAAATCCTAAGCCTCTCAAGCCTGCTGCAAGATGTCCAGATGGAGCAACAGCCCCTCTTATTCTTCTGCGCGCTTCCTCGTGTCTCTCGTCTAAGATCACACGACCGATTCCATCTGACAAAGACTCTGAAAGAGAAAAAAAGGAAGTAGATCAATACTTGTGGTAAAACAACCAGATTACTCAAAGAAAACTGGATGGTACTGGATGCAATTGTCCTTTACAATTACCTGTGACTTTAGCTGCCGAGTTGGACAACCCGTGTGTGACGTTCTTGACGAGCGCTGCGATGTTGCCTTCTGAGAACAAACCGGAGACTCCTTCAGAAACGTCGTTGACAAAACCTAGAGGGTTGCCCAGAAAGTCTACGCTTCCCAGGATGTTCGCCGCTTGCCACTTGAGCTCCTGAAAAACATATAAATGATTCAGTAGGAACAAGTTGTTCTGTAATAACGTGATTGTACGTGTTTTTAAAAAAAATATAAATTTATTGTTCGAAGTCCAAGATCTTTGCATGAACGCGGAAGCACGCCATTCCTAGAATTTGTCACGTCCAATATGTAATATATAGAATCAAAATTATCATTGTAAACTAGTGAGTCTTAAATATAGCCCAGTGAGTCTTAAGAGAGGGTCTAGTCTAGTAATGTCTAGTCTAGTGAGTCTTAAGAGAGGGTCTAGTCTAGTAATGTCTAGTCTAGAGTAGTCTTAGAATATCTTAAGTGAAGATTATGTCTGTTAATTAGAAGAAATAAATACAGTTTATAATACTACAAGTGATGTTCATATTGGAAGCCAGAAGTCTATCTCTTTCAGCTAATATCTTTCTGAAAGGGCTCACTATTCTGAAGAGACCTATTTATCAAACCAGTAACTCAAATTTATTCGTACTGCTCGACCCTAGGCACCAGGAAAGGGTTGGACGGACTTATTACCCAATCGGATAAAGAATCTACTGTAGTTACCACTAATCTGGATTGTGGATCTACGAACTTTGGACCCCAAGCCCTACCTAGACCTACAACTACCAACTTATATCATTTCAAAGTATTTTAAATTCAACTATTTACTTACATCCTTGTAATGTTTAATAATACTTTGCACCAGAGATTCACTCGTCTCAAAAGGATGTCTCCTTGAAAAAGCTTCCAATTCAATAGCAGCATCTTCAAACTTGATCAACGTCAAACCGAGATGTCTTTTGACGGCTTGGAGTTGCGGAGGTAACTTGCTCGAAGTCATCATACTTAAACGAATCTAAACAAAAGAAGACACGTTACGTAACAGCAACATTACATAAACGTAACACTCAATTATAAACGTGACACTCAATTATACCTGTCCGGGGACGATCTGCAATATCCCAAAGTAGTACCGTTTAGCATTTGATGTATTTGCAGCCAAATCAGGACCCCTATCGGCAGCGTCCCAAGAGGCTGTTCTACTGTGGCCACTCGAAGGGCTTCCACGAGACTTCGCAGTATCCCCATTAGAAATGGGGCAAAGACCAAAGAACAGAGCTAAACGCAGCAAGAGACGCTCTTCTAAAAATACTGATAGGGGACGGAGCTGGACTATAAGATGCTGTAAATAAAAAATATAAGATTTGACACATGGTGCGATCACAAGACTAGAAAAATATCAATTATATTTACCTTAAATATGACAGCATTAAGATTAGGGCTGGGTAAAACTTCGCAGCAGGCATGTATCGCAGGCATTGCTGTCTTTCGATCTGCTGCAATTCTCGAATGCAACAACACCGGACACGGGGCATCTAATAACTAAAAACAATAAAAACATAAATTAAAACAATAATTTAAAAAAATTTTAATTATCTATTTTTTCTTACCTGGTTATCAATCTGCACATCCGCAACCTTTAAATCCATCCTTCGAACAGTCTTGCCCAACCGCGCGTCCAAGGAAATGGAATGCAAAGATGCATACAGCAACTCGGCCTGATCGTCGCACTCCTTGCTGCTAATGTGCGCCGAAGTGGAACACGGCCTGGTTACCAAAGACACACCCAAACCTCCATCGAGTCGAACAGAGAGAGTGATGTCTCTAGACCTGGTTGACAGCTCTGATTCTTCATTGGACAGAGATGATTGGGCCTTTGAGGAACGCCAGTCGCAGGGAAGAGGATAAGAACCCTGTGGAAAAGATAATGATGATGAAAATATTAATTTTTTAATACTATTTTAAACTAGTAATAATTCCTTACAGGTATTTTAACATCGTGTATCTGCAACACCCTTGTAGGTCCATCAGTGACAACAGTGACTGAAAGAAATCCTGAACCTGGTCTCATTCTTTGTCTTCCAACTGCTTGTTCAAGAGGCACTTCAGTACCAAGGGCACCTTCTCGATGTTGCTGCAGGCCTAACACTGCTTCACCACCTATAAAAGAAAAATATATAATATAATAAAACCTAAATAAATTTCCAGTGCTTAGTAATCAATTTCTTTTTACCTGGCCTCAATCCAAACAATCCATCCTTGGCTTGTACACAAACACCATTATGTGCACAAACTAATCTACCATCTGGTGCAAATTTCCATGTTTGCGTCGATCTCCTTCTTGGATCAGGTCTTCTCAAAGCCAAACGTTCATACCTTGCTGGTCTTGGAGCAGGTCCTTCTATATCCAAAACCTTTAATAAAAAACAATAGACATCAAACAAGCTCATTTGAACAAACAAAATAAAACAACTCTGATAAAAATATTATTACACTTAAGAGTCTTTTCCACTTACCAGTATTTTATCTGAGTAACCCCTCAACATTCCACCACCTGTGTCCAATAGACCTCCATCTAAATCTCGAGGAGGTGAACTACCCTCATGTTGCAATTGTCCAGAACTCGTCATCCTCCACAACTGCGACCTGTCACCAGCTTGTTTTCTTGCTAAAACCAACCTGCCGCCACTTGATGTAGCAGCTGTGAGAACAGCCGTTGCCTCGTTACATCTGGTACAGAACCAGAAGCACTGGATGAGTACAAATCACGAGAACTGGAGTTGGCAACTGCTATCAGAGGCGTGAACGCTAACTGAGAATCTTCATCACTAAAAAAACGAAGAATTGATTTATAAAAGTTGCCAGTTTATTCAATACAATTTCTACTTACCCATCAAATGTACCAGTAAAGGCAATGTATATAAAATTTTCATAAGCGAGACCACCAGCTGGTCCTAATTCATTGACATCGTACACCGCTCTTTGTCCACCAGGAGATGCTAAGCAGATCAAAGCTCCGCCGCCTCCATTAGAAGAAGAGTTTCCATTGGATGGGGGCTCATCTGGAACATATGCCACAGCTGTTCCTGGTCTGGCTATGGAACGCCATTGTTCTGCACATCCAGACTAGAAAAAAGAAACTTAAAGTCTAGAAACTGGTGAGTTCATTTAAATACTGAATTTGCATCAATCTATTTATACAAACCTGATAAAACGTGATTGGTACTTGTGAGTAATTATCAATTCGAATCGGCGGAGGAAGTTCTTGAGCGTCTCCAATAACAATAAAGTAAGTTGCTCCTTGCAGCAAAACTTCGACACGAACAAAATGCATACCTCCTGAACTATCTCTGCAAAGTAAAATAAAAATAGAAAAATTTTCTACGTTTTGTATTATTTTAATATATTTATTTTACCTGATATTAACATGTAAAGAGTGTGTCCGATCAACTCTTAAACCAGCTGACCACAGACAGTCTTGTACATCAGGTAACCTAAGACATAAAAGTTGATCTCGATCAGGACGCGGCCAATGAAAGGCTTGTTCACTTCCTGGTGGAGCATGCTGATGAGTTGCTGACGCCCCGGGATCACTCTAAAAATAAAAATTAGCTAATTTGTTAAAAATTATATCGAAATTTCACCTTCTACTTACCACTGTTGTTGCAAAACACTTCTGAGACAACTCTACCTGCTGGAGCTCCGGTTTCTAACCCTATGTCTCGGTGTGATGGTGACAACTGTAGTTCGATCACTTGTAGGGTCTCCACCAGCAGTGATCAACCTTCTGCGGACTTCTACGCCAACTAGAGCAACTGCATCAGGTCGTCCGTCGCGCTGCACCGTTACCAGACGGCGGACTTGGACGCCAGGTTGGAGGTGGAAGAGGTTGACACCATTGAGGAGTACCTGTAAAACAAAGTCAGTATGAATCAAATGCGTACAAATGACAAGTATTCCATAAGAGTTGGATTAGTATTATTATTACCTCCATCTTGGCATCCGCGTCCTCCTCTACGCATTACCAGAGCAGGAGCAGCATCCTGATCAGCTAAAGAAAATAGAAGAGGTGCTGCCATACGTCCAGCTTCGTGCTCCGCACCTTGACCAGCAGCTTCGCGTCCTGCACCTTCTTGTGCTACCACCACAGGCAAACCTGCCCTGTTTACTATCCAGAAAGGACACCATATTGTCACCTAAGATAATAAAAATCTAAACATTATAGTAAATGACTAAAGAGGAATTTCCTGGTATTTACCTGTAGTCCTCCATTTTTGCCAACGGCTACACTAGCTTCCAAGTGCAAAGGTCTATTTTCCTGATCCAACAGCCTCACTCGTTGAGTAGCTATCGAAGTCTGTTGTAATGAAGAAGCAGATAAAGTACTAGAACTCATAGAACCTCCTAAACCTGTAAGAGAACCTCCTGGAACTGAATACTACCCGGTGTGGAAAATCCATCTAATGTTATTTGAATTTCTGTAGCTTTCTCCAAATCAACCTTAAACAAAAACATGCTACAAAACCAACTGACACAAATATCAACATCTTGGTCATGTCCTTACTTCTATGAGTGGAGCTCTAGATTCAGGACGCACTCTTCCACTTTTGCTGCTTTGACCACTACTACTGCCTCCTCCGGGTGTTACCAATCTATAAATGAGATCACAGGGCAACCGGTTACAGAGCAGAGCAACTGGAGCAATGCTTATTGTGTGTGCTGGTTGCACAATTGCAGTAGTCATATTATTTGCTGATGATGTTGTCATTGATGTTGTGTTGGGGTAGTTGTCACGTCTGATACAAGCAACTAACCTGTGGGGATAATAAACATGAAATTTGATGCATAAATCATTGATGTTGTGTTGGGGTAGTTGTCACGTCTGATACAAGCAACTAACCTGTGGGGATAATAAACATGAAATTTGATGCATAAATTTGATGTGAATTAAAATTCTGACCTATAAACTTTATCCTTGTCATAACAAGTTCGTAATTCCTGTGCAACTTCACCAGTTCTCTGTACTCGCCACCACATCAAAGGTTGTTTACACAATTGGAAATCTGGAGGCTTATGTCTGAAATTAGCAGGTCTAGGACCGCGACTATATTTCTCGATTTCGATCTTTTCTTTTGTATTAGGATCTTGGACAAGAGGTCTTAATCTGATGTGGCTATGAGCATGGGTGAGAGGAACAGAATATACTGATCCAGGTTGGACAATCTCTTCTTTTGTTGGTGGCCAATTTAAAACTACAACAAACAAATATATAATCGAGCTTAAAAAATCTTATTCTAAGTTTTAGCACACTCACTTCCAAATTGTCCATTGTAATATTCCATTCGTAACTGTATTGGACTATCAATATTATTGACAACACGTAAAGCTGATCTGACGGTCACTAATTTTTGTGCAGATCCTTCAAGAGTTACTGAGAACACTATTCGAGCTTTAGGCATCTCCAAATTCTATCAAAAATATAAATATCAGCCTCATAGTAAGAGTATATTATTAAGATTTTATACCATTGTTTCATATTCGGCATGAGCATGTCTAAAATAAACCCCGACTTTATCCACTGAGACAGGTCCAACAGGTGTCCATCCTTGGACTCGAGCAAATGTCTGATGCAAAGTCGGTTCTTTATGTCTAGTTCCACCTCTTTGTTTAGAAAATACACCTGGGTTAAAAACATAACTTGGATGTAAATAATTGCATAAAGATCACAAGTTTTAACTTTTACAAATGAGAAGTTGTTTGCAAAATGCCTCTTACAACTAGTATATTTTATCAATTTACCTGGTATAGTTGTCTGAATGAACGAAAGAGGCGCTGTGTCTCCTGGACGTACTAAACACCATCCTGGATCAGTCGGTGGAGGTGTTGCTTTTGTTAGATGACTGAAAAGGTTATGAAAGTTTGTATGAAGATCTTAGCTTGAAGATTATTTTAAAATTCTTACCTATCAGGACTGGTTATCAAAGTATAGAACCACAAATTGTTGCCAGTTTCATTTTTTAAAGCAAATGGTACAAATGGATATCTTCGCTTGAAACCAGGAGGGTTGCTCAGTTGTTGACCTGAAAAAGAAAAAAATATAGAAATAAGAAATTATCTTATTTTTCAATCCAATAAGTTTTTCTCTTCTAAGATTAATCAAGAACTGATAACTGTTTGATAATTTTCCATTAAATGAAAGAGAGTAGTATTTGATTCTTGTATTTCACATTTTTATTTCCATATGACTTCTTACCTGTATCATTAGCTTCACCGTGCATATCTTGAGTCCAGTTTTTATGAACCATATTATACAAATCCATAAGTGTGCTTGTAACATTTAAATTTAGCATCTCAGAACTCAATATTTTGACAATGAGCTCATCACTTGTTAATCCTGGTATTTTTTAATGCTTCATTCAATTGCATTCTGATATCAGACCTAAAGAAAAAAGTAATATAATAATATTAATAATTATATACTTATTTAATTCATTATAAGATTTCAAAATATTTTATAACAATTGCATTACTAGCAGGTACATTTATTAAGTACAACATAATTTAAAAGAAGGTAAACTAAACAAAGGTAAATTCTATGACACAATACAAAAAGCAATACCTATCAGACCATGGTATGACGAGTTTACTGAATGTTGATCGTTTTTTTCTACAATATGTAGACTAAGATTTAACCATACATACACTCCGTTTCACCTCAGTAGAATTGGGATCAATACCGATCCTAATTGCTATTGCTTGGGTGGAGTGACTAAGGCGGATGCAGAGCATGCCATTATGGAGTGCAAAAAATGGGAAAAGGGTAGGTAAGAACTATGGAGGGAAATAGTAAAGCAAAAAATTTTCCTTACAACCAATTTTATAACATTATTGACAAGGATAAGGATATATGATGCACTATATAATTATATACAATAAAATAAAATAAAATTGTAAAAATAACTTATAAAATATATATGACTAATGTACATGTATACAAAGTCAACTTAAAAGTCTAAATAGAGTCAAAATAAATAAAAAAAAACATGATTTCTATGTTGCTCATGGACAAAACTCAAAAATTTGGTTCAAAAGAAAGCATCATTTGAAATCAACAATTATTCACATAATTTTTAATTTGAAAATATCCTTTGATTTAACTTAAAATTTTATAAAAAAGTAAACAGTGTTTACCAGACTACAATTTTAGCAAACTTTTAATATTATTATTTGTTTCTTAAACCAACTTACTTCCATGGTTCTATAAAAGGCTCCCAACCACTAAGAGCTCTGTTATAATAGTCTCCAGATAAAATAGCAGACAACTGGGTCCCAAACTGCTCATTGTTGTCATCAAATCCACTATTGTAAGCCACCAGAGCATCTAAAATAATAAAAACAAGACAAAGGATAAAAAAACGTACTATACAAGTGTAGGTAGATACAGATGATATAATTGTAAAGATAATATTGCAAGTCTCTATATTTAATAAGTAGTCCAGGTGTCATACTCAGTTCTTGGCATGGACCTTTTTGATTGTTTATGATACCATTGATTACCACTTCAGTGGTAGCCATATGAATATTTGCTATACATGTATTATTATCTATACTTACTGCTAGTAGCTTCAACTGGAGGTGGAAGAATAGGCTTTGGCAACTCATCCAATTCACCAGACTTTTCACCGTTCTTCAACTTGTGCTTGAAGAACAACTCAGACAACGAAAATTCTAACAAAGGCACATCGGAGTCCCTGCAGTCATCGATGATGCACAAGGAGACACAATCTGATTTAATCTAAACATGAAACACATTCAATGAAAATCTGAGTTACAACATGGTCAACTGTAGTATTTGACTTTATTTTTTACCTCAAAGACTTTGACATCAAAAGTATTTTTATTTTCATCATCTGCATCAATAGTTTGATCACGACTGAAATTTCTGTCACTCGGGGCACGAGCTGTTAGTAAAAGAGCTGCATCGTCTAATAAATAATCGCATTGTTCTAAAGCTTTTGCACATTCTGTTTTGGAGAACCCTAGGGCTGTCAGTTTTGCTATTTTACCTAAAAGAAGGAAAGATATTACATTCTTAATGTAAGTAGGTAAGAAATTTAATTTTAGTAAGCTCATATTGTTTCTTTGATGCAAATATTATTTTATCATCATTTCTTACAACAATTCCAAATAGTTGCCTTCATTATTAAATAATTTACAATAATCTCAGACAATCTACACGCAAAATTTTCAGACTATATACAACATTCTCAGATAATTTACAATTTTTTTAAACAATTTGCTTTGCACTTTAAAATACTTCTGAGACAATTTACAAACATCCTCATATAATCTACAACAACATCAGACAAATCCACAACAACCTTAGATAACCTACTTCATTCTCAGTTAATTTACAAAATTTTGAAATAATATCTCAAAATAATATTCAGATAAATGGAAATATTTTCAGACTATATACAACATTCTCAAATGATGTACAACATTTCGAGACAATTTGTTGCATTTTCAGATAATTAACAACATTTTGATACTTTCGAATAGATTACAAATTATAAGGCAATCTACAATATCTTCACACAATCTACAATATCCTCAGACAATCTACAGCACCCTTCAACAATCTACAACATCCCCAATCAATTCACAACATTTTCAAAAAAAAAAAATACAACATTTTCAGACTATCTACAACATTCTCAGATAATTCACAACATTTTGAGACAATTTGCTACATTTCTAGATAATCTACAACATTTTGAAACAGTCTAAAATAATTTCAAATAATATACAATATTCTGGGATAATCTACAGCATCCTCAGACAATCTGCAATATCCTCATACAATCTACAACATCTTCAAACAATCTACAGCATTTTCAAACAATTTACAACATTCTTAAAAAATTTATATTTTCAAATAAATTTCAATATTTTCAGACTATCTACAACATTCTTAGACAATTTACAATATTTTGAAACAATTTGCTACATTTTAGAAAATCTACAACACTTTGAAGCAGTCTACAAGACCTTCAAATAGTTTACAACATTCTGAGACAATCTATAACATTCTCAGACAATCTACAACATCCTCAGACAATCTCCAATATCCTCAGATAATCTACAGCTATAGCTGTCTCAAATTATTTACAACATTTTGAGACTTTTTGAGGCATCCTACAATACATTCAAATAGTTTACAACATTCTGAAACAATCTACAACATTCTTAGACAATTTACAACATCCTCAAACAATCTACAGCATTATCAGTCAATTCACAATATTTTCAAAAAATATACAACGTTTTCAAATAAATAGCAATATTTTTATACTATCTTCAACATTCTCAGACAATTTACAATATTTTGAGACAATTTACTACATTTTCAGATTATCTATAACATTTTTAGACAATCTAAAATACATTCAGATAGTTTACAACATTCTGAGACAATCTACAACATCCTCAAACAATCTACAACATCCTCAGACAATCTTCAACATCCTCAGATAATCTAAAGCATTCTCAGTCAATTTACAACATTTTCAAAAAATATACAGCATTTTCAAAAAAATGGCAATATTTTGAGACTATCTACAACATTCTCAGATTCTGAGACAATCTACATCTTCAAACAACCTACAACATCCTCAGGCAATCTACAAAATCCTCAGTCAATTTACAGCATTCTTAATCAATTTACAATATTTTTAAAAAATATACAGCATTTTCAAAAAAAATGGCAATATTTTCAGACTATCTACAACATTCTCAAATAATCTACCACATCCTCAAACAATCTACAATGTTCCCAGACAATCTACAACATCCTCTGACAGTCGGCAGAATCCTCAGACAATCTACAACATCCTCAAACAATCTGCAATATTTTTAGATTATCTTCAACATTCTCAGATAATTTATAACATTTTGGGATAGTTTACAATACTTTCAAATAGATTACAACATTCTGAGACAATCTACCGCATCCTAAATAATCTACAACATCCTCAGATAATCTACACCATTCTCAGCCAATTTAAAACATTTTCAAAAAAGATACGGCATTTTCAAATAAATGGCAAAATTTTCAGACAATTTGCTACATTTCCCGATAATCTACATTTTGAGACAGTCTAAAATAATTTCTTGATTGAACGATTTACAATATTCTGAGATAATCTACAGCATCCTCAGACAATCTGCAATATTCTCAAACAATCTACAATATCCTCCCAGACAATCTACAGCATCCTTAGTCAATTTACAACATTTTTTAAAAAAATCAAATAAATTTCAATATTTTCAGTCTATCAATAATATTCTCAGATAATTTACAACATTTTGAAACAAGTTGATACTTTTTCAGATAATCTACAATATTTTCAGACAATCTACAATACTTTTGAGACAATTTTCAACAATCTCAAACAATCTACAACATTCTCTGCAAAATTTTCACAATATGCACAGACAATTTACTACATTTTCAGTTATTCTACTTACTTTTAGCATTAGCAGGAGGACTCTGTTTATTTTTAATAGAATCAGACTCAGATTTAAATTGTTGAGGCAACGAACTAAATATCCGTTGGAACATTAATACATCATGGTATGACAGTCGAATGCATAAAGTATGTAATTGTGCCTGTAAAGAAAAAAAAATTCAATTTTAAAAAAAAGATTATATATTATGTGCTTCTCAAATAAATATAATAATCATGGTAAAAAATGTTTGTTTAAATGAAATATAAAATCTATGGAGTATATATAGATAAAAAAAATTGCATATTCTTTTTTTAAGACGCTTTGGTGGTAAAGGCTTGAGCAGATCTGACGCTAATACGTTTGGATGACGACTCAGACGAGCTTTATATCTGGTGCAGTATAGATTAATTTCTTCATCTATAGTTCGGACTCTGAGATCTTGATGTATCAACCAGTTTGGAACATATTTTGGAGCGTTCACGATTTCTTTCAAAATTTTGTTTTGATACCTTTGTAAAATAGTTATATTTGATTTACTGGCCGCACCCCATAGTTGTAGACCGTAGGACCATATTGGTTTAATTATTAGATAAAAAAAATGAAAATATTTCATGAACTAGAAGTAAATGCCATTTTTCTCAAGGCAAGTTGCATGAGCACCTTGATATGCATGAAATTTGATAGTTAAATTATGTAACCAATAAATTTATCTATTACAATTAAATATCATAGTTATTAGAGAGTTGTCAAAATCTTGTACCTCAAGCAACCCTTCTTGACTAAGATCAATCTGAACAGTAACAGGATCTATTATAGACAAAGCAGATTCCTCTTCAGCTCCCAGAACACAAGAAAATAATTCCAGACGATTTAAATTCAATGAAAGAGGCCTTTGTGATCCTGGCCTGTAGGAAACCACACTTGTACTCTGGAAAAAATAATATATAGTTTGTAATATATAATATATATATATATATATATATATATATATATATATATATATATATAGATCAATAATAGTTATCTGTCTATCTTGACTATCATGGTTCAGTAATTATTTGTTGCAAACTAAATATTAAACTTGGTGTCAACAAGGTTAGGTTATTGGTCCAAAGTTCATTTTTGTAGTGCTAAATACAGAAATTTATTCTCCAAAGTAAAAGAAAACTTATTTAACAAATTAAATTTAGTTATGATTTCGATTTCTACAAATAAAATAAATAAAAAGACCAACTCTCTTATCATGAATGGCGTTCCTATGGAATTTTCTTCTGTTTCTGAATTTTTAAGCATCCTATTTTTATAAAATATTCATTTTTATTTCATACTACTACCTAAATCACCAAAAACATGTTTTATGTTTTTGGGAATCTTTAAATCCAAAGTCAGTTTAAATTGTTTCCTTTCAAATAAAATACAATTCTGGAGTTTTTTATCATATATGAAAAATATATTCATTACAAAATACAAAAAGTGTTAAGAATAATTTTTTTGCTTAGTTCTTTATCCACTTGTAAGAACTTTTTCGCTACAAAAACAATCTAACTGCCCTCGGTATATTTTTGGTAATCACATTAATAAATAATAATCCTAAACTTATCTAAATTTATGATCCGCTTTAGTTTTATATCAGTGTTTATCGTACCGAGTCAAATTGCATCATATTTTATCCTAGAAGTGGACCAAGAATGCTACCTTGCGGCATCCCTTCGCATATAAATAAATTTATAACCATTACCTTTAAAATAACAGCATTGCTTTCCCACAACGAAGCATTCTCAACAACAACCAATTCAGAATCAGTGATGTTTAACTTCATTTCAAATATTGTATTCGATTCATCTTGAGGAGATTGTCTACAAATAATAAAAGTAACATAAAATAAAAATTTATCTCAATATTTATAAAATATTGCATCAAGTAAACCTTTATGCATATATATTATACCTCTTCATATGATTTTTCTGTTGTCTCTTTGCTTCACTGGATTTAAAACTGGTCTTCCTGAGCATTGGATCTCCACTTAAACTCTTCTTGGTCACACTTTTGTCGTTTGCATTGACTGGAGTCTTCTCGTCTCCATGACAGTGCCCCAGATAGTCCCGAGCTATTTCCAACCAGTCCCAAATTGCCATTAGACGCATGTTGTTTAATAGAATTGTAAACTTGGAGTTGTTTTTTCTTATTCTGAAAAAAAAATAATATTTATTGATAACAGAAATATGTTATATGATGTAATTTATTATAATTATTTTACCGCGAGTGTAGTTCAAGTTGCACTTGGTTACTATCATGTTGAAACCTTATGGGTTGCAAGATGTTGGAAAAAACATTTCTTCGCTTGTTAACTGGTTCATCCTTGTATCTGGTGTCTGCTATTAAAATTTCCTAAAATAAAAATATTTTATGAATAAGAAGTAAATGACATTTTTTCTCAAGGTAAACAAATAAACAAAAAAAATATTCAGCAAAGAATAGATAAAATTGTTGATTCACTCTTGGCAGAATCCTTTTGAAAAAGAGAATCAACTATTGATGCAACCAACTTGGTTGTTAATACATCCAAAGATGCAATTGCCGGGAACCAGATAGGAGACTGGTGATGGTGGCACAAAGAAGTATTGTCTGGTGACTATAAAGACACCAATAACGTTTTTATAATGAGCAGAAGGTGCCAGGGTACCTATGAAATGTAGTGGCTTGCTACTTCATGAAAAAAATTCTAAAGTACAACTGAAAGATTATGATATAACCATAGGTGTGCCACAAGGCTCGGTTCTTGGTCCATTGCTGTGGAATATCATGTGTGAAGCGGGCTATTGAGACAGAAAATTCAAGCAATGTGTTAAATATTACCAAACACCTTGACGAGAATAACAATCTATTTGACATTACTTTCAACAAATTATTTGGTGGATAACAAAGCAAAGGAGTAAGTCTATATTTATTCCTGGCAGCAAAGTGATAAAGACCATCAAGTTGAAAGTTGGGATCTAGAAATCGCCTTAGAACCTTATATCCTTCACCTACAAGTGATGCTGAAGAAAGTGATCAATACTAGACTAGAGTCCCAAAAAACTCAGGATGGCAGAATGGTAGAATGAGTACTACTCAGACTGATAAAAGCAATAGTGGAATGTCACAGTGAAGGATAAATGAACTCATTGTCTTTTAACAATGAGGTATACACACAAAGAGGTTTATTTATTTCATTTATTACCTGTGATACCAAATCCACATCCTGTGTCTCATCCGAATAACTATCAACAGTCAGTCTTGACTTAATAAAATTAACTTTAGCCAATGGTTTATTCGGTTTCAAATTTAAATCAACTGTAACATCATGCAATAAAATCTTCAAACAGCTCACTGTTCTAATCGGTTGAGACTGACTTCCTTCTTTATCATGATCAGTTGATTCTTCTTCTTCCTAGAAAAACAAACCACACAAATAAGAATCATAATAAACATTGCATTTAATTAATATTTAATGGCGCGTACAATTATATTCAACCCTGGCAGTACGACATCGTCTAAATTTTCTCCTAAATTGTATTTCAAGACACCGCGAACCAAACTGTATTGATCTAGATCCAGACTAGCATCCAGTTTTGATAATGTGCACTGTATAGTCAAATCTGGTAACACTGAAAAAGTAATAATAATGTTAATATGTTATTCCTAATGTGCAAACTAATCTTGCAACATACCACTGAATCTTTGAATTGCTGTGTCCACCTTCCTTTCGACAGTGACATCAACTGTGCGTTTACCAGCCAACAATGAAGGTCTCTGCATTGAACATGATCCTATAATTTGGTTGTCTCGAGATCCCTCAAATAGATCAGCTTGTACAAGCTGAATTGATATTGAATCTACTAATTCTCCTTCATCTGAGGAGAAGAAATACAAAAATTAATAATACCTTTATGTATATTCATGTTATTTATAGAATAATACCATAAATATTTTTTCTTACCAGAAAGGATGTTGAGAGTTTTCACTTTACGATAACTAGTTGCTGCATCCATATAGACATAAGGTTTATCATTAACAAAAACAAATGTATCTCACAATTGAAAACTTGTTTTTATCTCAATGCAAAACCAATAATTATAATTATTATTTTAAGTAAACAAAAAATTGATAATATAAGAGATCAAAAGTCTGGAGCGCAACTGTGTAATATTTAATTTTTTTACATTTAGTTACATCAATTAAAACTAGAAAGTTGTTTTTATCAATTAAACAATTAAAGATGAATAATTTATCACTTACCCAGAGTCTCAGCACTAGGAACAGCCATTTTAAACGTATTATGTATTGTCAGAGCCTCCGCATCCGCCACTACAAATCTTTTAGAAGCACCTCCTGCTGGAAGCACTATAACTGGTCTAGAAACCCTAACATCCAGGAGCAACCTAGACGCAGAATCATCTGGAAGGTCTTGGTCTTGGTGTAAAGACTTATTGTGCTAAAAAATAAAAAAAATAAAGAAATTAAGACTTTATTATAAAGGTATAAGTTCTTTAACCCTTACCTTATTCTTTGTCCTCTGTCTCACCTTCTCCATGACGTTCTGCAGCAATGACAAATGTCGGAAGAAGTTTTGCAATTCAGTAACAAAACGTTTTGTATGCACATACTTAACAGAAGCCATCTCCACCTTCAAATTAGCTTCACGTCCCTTTATCTTGTCCTTTCCCAAACTTGTCGACGTTTTCACATTTGTTAAATATGTAAAATTCATCGCTTCCTCGCCACACGTTGCAAATTTTTCCCTATACATACTCCCTTGAGGTGTTAAATCCATCACTATCAAAGACCCTAAAGTTCCTGTGATGATTTTCACAGAACTGTCCTTCGTTATGGTGAAAGATACATGAGATATAGACACCTTGGCAAGATCTTCCTCTTTGCGGATCATGATCATGTTCAAGGAACGCACAAAGATCTCCACTTCGCTGTTAGTCAAAGGTGCCACTTTGGTATCCTGTGTTGGTTCCTCGTGGTGCGGTTTGGAGTCTGACATACCAAAGAAATCCAATACCACCAACCAACTTTGGACAGCAACTACTGTATCCAAACCGTTAAAATCAACAGATACACATTTGTGCAAAGATCTGTACTTGGTTGTAAACTCTGGACTGGCGTCATCGACTAGTAAAGCTGATACTTTCACAAGCATATCTGATTCTTTGTATTTCGGTGAAGACGGAGGCGTAATTGGACACACGTCCATTTGCAACGATGGATTTCGGCAAGTCCGTTTAGGTTCCAAATGATCCGGCAAGGAACCTCTTGGAATTTCATCGAGTTGTCCTGTTGATATCGGTATGAAATTAGGACATGAGCGTGATACGAACCAACTAGGCTGCCAAGTTTGTTTTGATGTACTGGACACCATCATGTATCTATATTTGCTATCAGGTTCCTTCAACAAATCTTCCATAACCAAAGTACGTAACGACACCAGAATATTCGTTTCGTAATCGTGACACTTTTCGTAATTCAAGATGAAATCTCGCAAGGATATTTCCACCAGACCTTGTTGACCTGTTCCACAATCTCCGCGTAGCTCCAAAGTCAAACAAGGCATCTCGAATTTAACTTTAGCATCTAACATATTTCTTCTTGGTTCGCCTGATACTGCTTTGGAATCGACTTGATCTTGGGACCTGGTACTTTGGAAGTCTTTAGGACTGCTGGTCAAATTGTCTACAGTGTCCAATAATTGTTCGTACTGCTCTCGTGATAAAGACACTCGTAAAGGCGTCACCACGCATCCGTTGACATGGACACAGTCTCTGGAAAACTTTTCGTCTAAGAGCTCCATTGAATTGTACAAATCAGGAAGCTCTCGTGCTATTTCCAATTTAATAGTGGTGTCGTGCAGAATTGGTAAACCACCTTTGGAGCAATACAACTCCTCTGCTTTTAAGATTGTACCATGGTCCATCACATTGCGTCTATCACTTGTATCTAGAGAATATAAGTTCATATCACGGACTTCTATCACATAGGTATCAAAAGTTGCATTATAAATTTTCCTTGGAACCGTTTCGATGGTATAATTTGGTGTGTTGGATAAAGAAATTCTTCCTAAATGTGCCACAAAGACATGAGGACTTGTTGGTGCCCTTGGCAAAACTAAAACGGGAGTCTCTAAAACAATATCCAAATTTATCAAAACGTTGCATTCTGTGCATTGAGGCGAGGTCTTCTGTCCCATGCTCAAATAAGTTTCGTGCGTTATCGAATCCATTCGGGCCTGCACCAAATTTATCGCCATATCCGTAGCCCTAGCTTTGATGCTATGTGCCAACGCTGATAAATACGTCTGGAACTCAGTAACACACATCTTAATCTCCATCAACAAATGCGGGGAATACGTGTACCACACACTACCCATTCTCAATTTAATATGCAAATCTGTGACCTGGTTGTTGTCAATTTTATTCTGCTCAATACGAAAGGACAAAGCCTCCTTACAACCAGTCTCTGAAGACTGCTGATGCGTATTATAAATCTCAGTCGTCAACATTTGTAGCAAGTCAACATGAGGTAAAACTTCAGGATCTGTTAAAGGATCCTTACCAACGCTCAAGACGCGCTGATGAGTTATGCCTGTAGGAGTCAGGTCTAAAACTTGCAAGCCTCCTAGAGATCCTTCAATAGTCACTCCTGTGCCAATAGTTGCATGTATTCTGGCTTCAGACATTGTTGCTGTTGCAACTTTTCTCCCAATGTAACAACCGTCTCTCAATAAAGCTCTTAAGACTAACACATTCAGTCTGTGGAAATCAAATGTGATCTCAGCTCTCGTGTTGTTGACTAGATTATCTTTGGTTTCTGCTGTAAAGCTTTTCATAGCACCTCCTGATTGGAACTTTGGCAACACCCTATTGGCAAAGCCTATCAACTCAACTATAGTTTCCTGATTGGCTATGATGTCTAAATTATTAAATTGTATACTAGCTATTTGTATAGCCTCTTCGCTTTCAGTAGCATTCACATACAACACTTCAATCACAATCAGCGCTTCGGTGTCTGATTTATTTAATATTGTCTCCATAACTGGTGAGATATGTCCTTGTCTCAAGCTACTCAATGCTTGCGACAACTGATGAGGACTGGTGGCTCTTCGAGCGACGTTCATGGGATCAGGACTGGCAGGAGAAGTTGGTGAACATGGATCGCTATCTCGTAAACTGCCTGACACAGAATCCATGCCCACGTGTTTATGTGAGGCCACCAATAGCTCGAAATCTGGTCCAAAAGTTTGCAAGGCATCAACAAGCAACAATCCATGCACTAATAAAGTAGCACTGGTTTCTGTAGAGCACTTGGTGAAACCTAGTCTGACTCCAGTTACTTGCAACTCTGCTACACTTTTACCACGAGATTGGACTTCTATTGCAAGTTGTTCAACTGAAAATTGCAGTGTTATAATTTTTGATGCTGATTCCTTGGCATGATCGAAATGTGGTAATGTATCTTGCATTAGTATATCATCTGTTGTTGTTGGGCTTTTGAATGGTGAGTCTGCCTTTTCGCTTTCTAAAATATCCAGCAGTTTTTTCAAAGAGAATATTTTTTGTTCAGCTACATGCATAACCAATCTTGGCAGAGTACCGCTCACTATTAGACTTGGATATTGTGGATCTACTGTGTGGACTAACCTACGTTCAATTTGGAATGTTATATTGAATCGGTCTAAAACGTGCAATGGTGAAGTTCCTTTGGTATGAGCAAAACTCCAATTGTCTGTAGCTCGACCAACCAAAACTTGCAAATCTAAAAATTCCACATTGTACTTATCATAAATCCTATTATGTAATGTATTCTGGTTCAACATCATCAGATTCTCAGGTGACAATTTTAAAGAATCTTCATTTGAACATAAAGTTGGACTATCAGATCCACTGGCTTCACTTCCTGGTGGTGTTGAACAAGGTGTCATAAACATCTCTTCATCCTCACTATCGCGATTGTAATAAGGATCATCTTGATTTTTATCAAGTTCTTCATTTTGCTTATTGGACAAGACCAAGCGTCCAAAATCCAATACAACGACGCACGTATCACAGTCCAGAAAGCTCTCAACAAAAATAATTTGAGGAGCTGATATGTCTAATTCTAATAACCAGTCTTTACGTTCAGAAAGATCACCTTCCAACAACTGCTCCCAGTTTTTCATCAACTCCTGCTTGGTTCTCAATTTCATATCGTTGATTCTCCGTCTCGTTGCCGCCATTTGGTGAGGTTTACAAATGAAGTCGACTAACCACTGAACAGCACTTTTGTTGTAGACAATATCCAAGGCTTGAGATTTTATTTTCAGGCTGTAATCTGTGTTTTGACCAAGAGGTTTACGCTCAAAACACAAGGAAAACAAAGGCTCGTTGGTTTTCTCCAAACTAATATAAGGCTGTTGCGTTACCGAGATGCGATGCGTTCTTTGAGACATCTGACGCATCCTAGGCAGTGGAGCATTGTCTTTACCCTGGGGGAAAGGGACAAATAAATACCACATATGATAATATCATTACCTGGTATCAATTATTTTTACCTGAGGGCATACAAGAACTGGAAAAATAGTATTCTTGGTAATTTTGTCCAAAATGGAAACACTGCCCAGTGCCAACTTTGCCTGATACGAACCATACCTTGATCTGGTCTCAACAGACACTTTTACAGTCTCAAAATGTAACTCAAGCATTGGAACACTGTAAAAAAAGGCAATCAATGTATTGAATGTTATTATAAATTCCAACTAGATTATTTGTTTGAGCATTATCACCTTTTGCTATAAGATTCCCCCATGCAAATACTAAAAGTTCCTTCTTCAAGAGTGAATTCAAACTGGGCAACAACATGACAATTCTGTCTGTCATCTCGTACATTTGCCAAGGCCTTCAGCAACTCTGCATCCAAAGTGTTATCAGATGTGGTAGATGGGACCAAAGCCTCATTTTCAGCTAAAAATAAAGAGAAAAGTAATAGATAATTGAATCAATTGGTGCTAAATCATCTAATCCTAATTACAATTTATGATTATTATTACCTGATGATGTTTTGGAGGAAGAATTACTGCCATACCATCCCCAGTACTGTGGAAACCATTGAAACAACACACCGTAACCACTGCCACTGTTTGTGTTCCTGGACTCATCTGATTTTTCTGGTATTCGACTCATGGCCACCTGCAGAAACAGAAAAATGTTACATTTAATAAAAAATTTCTTACAGTCAATAATAAACATATAAATATCTTATCCAATTGACCTCTCTTAAAGCTTTCAATTTATCCAAAGTGAGCATTGTCTCCATTCGATCTTTCAGTTGCTTCTGCTCCAAAGGCAATGTGCAGGATGGTGCTAATAACAATTTTGTGTATAAATCTACATAGTTGATATTGTCTCGCGCCAACGATAGGCATTCTTCCCATGTTGGACGATAGAAGTCATGACCTAAGGAAAAAAACTTTAAAATTCAACGTGCGGGGTACCACAAGGCTCGGTGCAAGGACCTTTATTATAACTAGTAAATACAAACAACGTAATAAAAGGAATAAACTTTATTAAAATCTTACCATTGCATTTAAGAGCATACAGCCACCATGCTTTAGGACTATCTTTCACCAGCACTCCTGGTCTGCTCAAACGATTCTTACGTATCTTGGCCACATTTTCCAAACCGTGTGCGCACTTTATTAACTGCTCATACTGCCACTATAATATAAAATACAGAAACTGTAGTATCATCTGGTAAATAGTACCTGATACAATCTATTCCTGATACAATCCATTATCTTACATCAACAAGAACCAATGGAACTTTATGAAGCTGCAAATCACAAACAAGTCTTGGTCTACTCGAAGGTCTATCACCACCTGCTTGGAAATCCCCTAGATTTGGAGTCTCTCTACCCAATTGTGCTCTGCCTCGCACAGGTTTGAGGACATACTGATGGGATTTTATGGAATCTAAAGAAACCTAGAGAAATAATTGAGGAGAATGAGTTATAAAGAATTATATTGTTGTTATTATTTGTTAAATTTTATTTTACTGCTAATTCTCCCAAAGTTCTATTCCCAAGCATATCAGTCTCCTCAATCGCGTCCCAATAGATGGCCAAAGCCTGCAGTTCCATAGTTTTAGCACCATTGCCACCACCTGCAGCTCCTGGTGAGGTTGCTGTACCAGAGTTGACATTGTAGTTGACGTTTATGGAAGCTGATGAGAAGTCACTTACTAAAGGATGGTAAAACAAAATTAATATCATGATAATAAAATATTTATTTATATATGTAAAGGTGTACCTGCTCCATTTGTGTTTAAGGATCCCAATGTTATCCCGCAAGCAAATATTTGTCCAGGAATTGATATAGAGTCTTCGTATCTTATGTGGATGTCACGGATTTTAAACTAAAAATGATGAAAAAAACTAAATTTGGTACACTGATTGATTTATTTATAGTTCTAGAAATGAAATTCCTCAGAATTCTGAAAGACTTCTTGATAAAAAGAACAGTGGAAAAAAACACATGTAGTTTAATGCGTGGAGTACCACAAAGCTGGGTCCTAGGACCACAGTTAAATCTAGTATATAGAATTCAAAGGTATATAGGAGTCAAATTCTCCAGATTTCTAGATGATTTCTTGATGGAAAGAATAGTGGAAGAAACCACATGTAGTTTAATGCGTGGAGTACCACAAAGCTGGGTCTTAGGACCACAGTTATATCTAGTATATAGAATTCAAGACAAACTTTGTCACACACATATTATGTCCAATTTCGGTGTCAAACGATTGATAATACTTAAAATTTAAAATTGATAAATCAGATTTTCTGACAAAAACATTAAATTCTCTTCAGGAAGTTAAAAATAAAATTTATTATTATTGTAGGTAAGTTGTATCCATTACTTACTTGTAAATTATCCACAATCCCTGAAACAAAACTGGCCCCATAACTCAACCAGGATGAGTAACTCGAGGCATAGTATCCAGTTGATCCAGAAGCTCCTTGTCTTCCTGCAGAGGAATTTGCATCTCGGACCGCTCTCCATCGGGACTCATGAGCATCCAATTTATTGAGCTTACGTTCCAATGAGGCATTTCTCTCAAACTCGTCATCCCACTAAAATATTATTGATAGAATAGAAACTCTTGGTAAAAGAATTAAATTGAGGAAGAGTAGATGGTAAAATGCTCATTTGATAAATGATTAACTATGTATGGATTATTAAATATGAATCCTTTATTAAGGAATGAAAATAATAAAAAAATGAAAACAAACTCCTAATTAAACAATTACTATTTTCATTGAACTCTTCAATTATTTCTATTTCTATTTCACCTCGTCCAAGTTGATAGGTCCAGCAACAACATTCAATTGTTCGATAAGTATCACCCATGGGGCTGATCTGAATTGTCTGACTGGAATTTGGAGTCTGACACGACCTATATAACCAGCTCTGACTTGTAAAGGTAACCCGAGGAGTCTTAGGGCATCTTTTCTTATCGGGAGATTCTCTAATTCGACCTCACCTGAAAAATAGATATAGAAATAAATAAATAGATAATCTAATTTTTCTAAATAACATTTTTATTTATAATTATTTCTATGCTTGGAGAATTGAGGATTTTTCAATTCCTGGAGAAAGGAAAGGAACAGAAGATATTTTTTTTTTTTTTGAAAAAGGGGCTTGTAGTTCAGAAAAATAAAATTATACAAAATATATACACCTATTTATATTTTTGATTCTTGACTATTATTAACTTTCCAAGAAAGAACGTTATTTTTACGCCAAAAAAGTAGATTTGCCAACTGATATTACTAAATTTCAAGTCATTTTGAATCGTTTGACAACGAAATTGGAAAAAGCATGTGCATCTATTTATATTTTTGATTTTCGATAATTATTAACTTCCCAGAAAAGAAGTTTATTATTACGCCAAGAAAGCAGATTTGATAATTTTATGTAATTTCCAAATTTCAAATCATTCTTAATCGTTTGACTCCAAAACTGGAAAAAGTATGTGTGTATGTGTGTTGCACCAATTTCAAAATTTCTCCAAAGACAAATGTATGGTAAATGTTTAATTAATTTTATAAAATTCCAATTACATTAGTTTTTCTTACTTAAGTCGAATCGATACATTGAATTATTGTTATTATTTATATACCATTCCCAAAGAAATATTTCATGACGCTTCCCAAAGAAATATTTCATGACGCAATTATACAATTATTTAATTTAACAACATATAAATAAATAATATTTATGCAATAACAATAATTAATCATGTACAAACAAATATTTTAATACTAAATCCAACTATACCAATTACGTAATGTAAATTTCATATTTTTTACATTAATCTTACGTAAAAATGACGTAAATATGTAACTTGTTTTACGTACAAATTACCTAAATATTATTGATTTTGGTTTAGTGGGATCACATTTACGGATTTTGGTTTAGTGGGATCATATTTTGTTTAAAAATACAGATTACATTTTAACTTTAAGATTTAAAAGTATAACACAATTCGTAATTTATGCCATATCCAAATTGATTTAAATTTTTTAATTCATCATTCCGTCAATACAAGTGAAATGCTTTTTGAATCACTCTAATCGGAAGTCCTGTCGAATTTCTATATTTTGCACTTTTTCTCCCATGTCTTTGAAACGGCTTAACCTCCCTTCAAAAAAACTAATTAGCACGTCTCCCCATCAATAGGAATCGAATGTTTTTGGAATCATTCAAATCGGTTGATCCATGCGCCCGAAATCGTAGACAGAAAATTGTATCCACACATTCATGCATACATACACGCATATAAATGTTTTTCTAAGGTATACCAAAATGTTCAGAAACCTTCAAAACCAAAAGATATTCAATGATTTCAATTTCTACCCTACTTAATATTTCAATTTTATGATAATCGATTTCAATTTCACCCAAAAGATATTCAATTTCATCACTATAAAGCATTCTATGAGAAAATTGTAATGTTTATACACCACTTTTGTGTAATAAACAACTATTTTTTTAAATAGGTAAGTATGATAACATGTAATGCTCAAAAAAATTGCATAATCGAACAATCTTGCATCTTGAATATTAAATTATGGTACAAACTTAATTAGATACTTCTTCCTAACATATATTATTCAACATGTCCTAGAAAAGAGCAAAGATTTATTTAAATTTAGTAAAAACAAATAAGTATAAAATTTATATATAGTACACTTCTAAAAAATATACTCTGCTTACACTCTATATAATATTCATCTCTATATGTCACTAATTACAGACAATAAACGAGTGATTAGAAACGAACAAAGTTAACATAATGATATATAGTGTTGCATATTTGTAAATAGAAATAAATGTTGTCTATAATTTTCAGAAATGTACTATATATATAAATTATCAGAACTTTTAAAACTCATTTGTTAATACTACAAATAAATGAAACAAGATGCATAATGCAATATTCTTACAATAGTTGCAACTTTGTGTAATAATGTACTTTGTATAAAGTCCTTAATATTTTGCAAGAAAAATGTGATGTTGCCAATACTTTTAGGTATATCATAATATTAATGTATCTTTTCTTTAAACAAGAAAGTATTGCATAATGGGTCACTCCTGAATATCAAATGCAACTTTACAATACACTCTTAATTGGATATTTCTTCTTGAAAAATGTTATTCGATCTGTCCTAAAGAGAGCAAAGATTTATTTAATATAAGTTTTCATATTTATTTAGAGATACTCCTTCTTAGAACATATTATTCTATATAATATACTATAACTTGGAAAATGTTATTTTTATAAACTGGAAAATGTTATTACTATAACATGGAAAATGTTATTCCTATAACTTGGAAAATGTTATTCCTGTAACTTGGACAATGTTATTCCTGTAACTTGGACAATGTTATTCCTATAACTTGGACAATGTTATTCTTCTAACTTGGAAAATGTTATTCCAATAACTTGAAAAATGTTATTCTTATTTACTCAATTAGAAATTTCGTCTTGAAAAATGTTATTCAACATATCCTAAAAGTAGCAAAAATTCAATTAATACAAGTATTCATATTTATATTTCTATGATACAAAACATGATGAAATATTCTTACAATATTGGCAAGAATTCGATGCTTGGTACAAAGTCCACAGTCCAATAGTTCAATTAAAACATATTTTGTAAGAAAAATAAAATAATAGCATTTTGTAATGTATAACAATATCACTACACATTTTGTCTGTAACAAGTATAAAAATATACTCCATCGAGTATATTCCCTTTTTCCATTTCAAACCTAACTTTACCAAACAAACTTAATTAGAAGAAATGTCTTGGAAAATATTATTCAACATGTTCTAAAGTGAGCAAAGATTTAATATAAATTAAATTTATGATACAATATATCATGAAATATTCTCACAATATTGGCAAGAACTCGTTGCTTTGTAGAAAGTCCATAGTCCAACAGTTCAATTTCATTGTAAAAAAAATATAATAATACCATTTTGTAATGTATGAAAATATAATAATAAAATATGCTCCATCCAAAATATATAATAAAATATGCTCCATCCAGTATATTTCCTTCCCCCATTTTAAACCTAATTTTAATGGTAATACAAACTTAAATAGACATTTTTTCTTAGCAAATGTTATTCGACAAGTCTTAGAAAAAGCAAAATTTACTAAGAACAAGTAAAAGGAATAAGTAATCATATTTATAATGTGACAATACAATGCATGTTGTACTTGTAATGTATATTAATACACATTTTGTCTGTAACAAGTTTAAAAATATACTCCATCAAGTATATTCCTTTCTTCCATTTTAAACCTAGCTTTACCATACAAACTTAAACAGATATTTCTTCTTGGCAAATGTTATTCGACAAGTTTTAGTGGAAGCAAAATTTACTAAGAACAAGTAAAAGGAATAAGTAATCATATTTATAATGTGACAATACAATGCATGTTGTACTTGTAATGTATATTAATACACATTTTGTCTGTAACAAGTTTAAAAATATACTCCATCAAGTATATTCCTTTCTTCCATTTTAAACCTAGCTTTACCATACAAACTTAAACAGATATTTCTTCTTGGCAAATGTTATTCGACAAGTTTTAGTGGAAGCAAAATTTAATAAGAACAAATAAAAGAAATAAGTAGTCATATTTATAATGACATGATACAATGCATGTTGTACTTGTAATGAGTTCTTGTAATGTATAATAATATTAATACACATTTTGCCTGTAACAAGTATTAAAATATACTCCATCGAGAATATTCCTTTCCTCCATTTTAAACCTAGCTTTACCATACAAACTTAAATAGATATTTCTTCTTAGCAAATGTTATTCGACAAGTCTTAGTAGAAGCAAATAAAAACAAGTAAAAGAAATAAATAGTCATATTTATAACTAACAATCTGTCAAGTGGCTTTATTACTAAATCCTTTAATATTATTTTAACACAGAACACAAAGTACTTTTTTGTATTCCATTATTTATTATTAATATTTCCTTTATATTTACCTGATAACAAAGCAATGCTCAATTGATCTGTGTTCAAATTCTCCACATATTTGCCCAAGTAATTATTTAAAACCCAGGCCACAAGTCCTTCCAACATATTTCACAATAAAAATCACCATTAATATTAATTTTAATTAGGACTTCAAAAAATTCACCATTGCATAATAGATTTTTAATTTAAAAAAACATGTTAGGTTGTGAATTTTGTGTTTTTAATTTGTTTATTTATTAAAGATTATGATAAACATTTTATGGTAAATTAAAAGTTATTATTTTAAAAGATTTGGAAGAATGTTTTTGATAAATTAGCATTCTTTAGCAAATTTTGTTTGATCTGTCAAAATACATTGATTGGAGTGAAGATAAGCACAAAAGGCGCGACTAGATTTTCAAAAAAATGCGGCGGTAAAATATTTTTATTTTGAAAAAAAGTAGTTAATATTAAAACTAGTGGGGCGCATGGCATTGTGCCTTAAGGCAAATTGCTGGAACTTCCCGTACCAATAATTTTTTTTTTAAAAAAAGATTAACATTTTTGAAAAAAGTTTACTGTGAAAAATTAGATTTTTGAGAAACTATAAATTTTTGACAAAAATGTACGTTTTTTAAAAAAAAAGACTTTTTGAAGAAAAGTGTATTTTGAAATATTTTGGAAATTCTGAACTTTCTTTCAAAGCAATCGTACTGCTTTAACTGCATAGAGACGAAATATCGAAGCGCGAAAGCGACGTGCCGCCGTCTATCAGATAAGCATTGGTACGGAACCCATCGGAATGTAAACAAAATTTATACTTATTGTTAAAATCTCTATAAAATATCTGATAATTTGATGTGCATCTGTCTAATGATCATTTTTGACCGCCAACTGGCATTTGTTTTTACTTTTTTTAGATCTCCGAAACCGCTAGACCTGCCTTCATGAAAATTTGATCAGTTCTTCACCTTGTTAATACGAGTAAAATGTTTTTTGAATTATTGAAATCGGACGCTCCGTTCTCTTAAAAACTGAGTTACCGTTTTTGGCACTTTTTGCCCCATATCTTCGGAACGGCTAGACCTGCCTTCGCCAAAAACTAATCAGCACGTCTCCTTATCAATACGAATAGAATGTTTTTTGAATTATTCAAATCGCTCCATCCGTGTTCCCGAAATCGTCGACGAAAGTTTGTATCCGCACACACGCACACACACATACATCCATTTTTTCTAAAGTATGTCAAAATATTCAGAAACCTCTGAAACGTAAAGATATATAAAAATTTTCATTTTCAATTTTTTTGCGATTACTACAACTTACCCTATGGGAAGTTAAAAATCCGTGGATCGTTTTACAATTTATTTTATAACCACTAAGTAAGTATTCACCAAATGTTTTACATAATAATCAAATTTAAGTTTTACATTTTAATATTTGTATTAAAAACTAAACAACAAATCAAATACTTTGCAAAACTTGTTTGCATATTATTATATTAATCTATAATTTGTTGATATTATGTTATTAAAAATTAATTAACAATCGTTAACAGAATAAACTATAGAATAAATAAACTGGAATATATTTTATTTTATTGTCATATACATAAAATTGTGATTGTCTACATCTAGTTACAAACAAAAATGTAATCTTTTTACTTTTATATTGACTAAATTTAAATTAAAATTTATAATTATAATATTTATATATATATATATATATATATATTTATATATAATTATAAATCAAGTATATATGAATTATTATTATTAATTTATAACAGGATTTATTCATCGACTGATTGTTCATAAGACTTTAAACTAATTGTAATTAGTTTTATACATTAATGTATATCCAATTGGAAGCATGACTAAATATCATATTATTTATAACAATATTGATCTAATATTAAAGATTATTATAATATATTTTTTATTAGGAAGATAGAATATCATAAAAGACAAACATAAGCATTAATCAACAATATCGTTTGGTTTATCATTACAATCTTTGGCACTATAATAATAATATATTTATTATATATATATATATATAAATATATATATATATATATATATATATATATATTTATATATCATTATTATTATTAATTTGTACTAAACTACCTAAATCTAATGTCACAATCGTATTTCATTATTATTGTCATTTAATATTACAGAAGCATTATCATTAGGAAGAAACTTTATGGAATGTAATTTTTCTACATCGTTTATATATAATGTATATTTTTTGTACTAGAAATTATTGAATATTTTGTTTTGTATTAATTGTATATAACATTTTTTAAAAAAGTGCTCTGAAATTTCATAAAATAGTTTGTGCTTATGATTGATATAAAAATTGTAGCTATACTTTTGTAGTTATTTGTTAAATATAACCAGTGGCGTCGGAACCAAATTTTTGATGGGTGGGCTCGTTTTTTTTTTTTTTTTAGATAGGCAGCCAGTGGTCTCGTTTTTTTTTAGAGATATTAGCCTATATAATTTTTTGAAATTGATGGGTGGGCTCAAGCCCACACAGCCCACACGGTTCCGACGCCACTGAATATAACTATTATTATTATTGTGGAAGCATATTTATATTTATAAACTATCTTGAGACTTCTTTTGTGCTGTCGATATAAATTTAACTATAACTTGATTATAATTTGAATTTAAACAACAAGTTATACAATTCTATATAAGTTACTAAAATTATAACTATTTATGATATTTCTTTTTCACAATTGTAAAATTGTATGAGATTACATTTAACCAGCTATAATTTGATTATATTTTAAATTTAAACAATATATATTATATAATTCTATCTAAGTTATTAAATTTTGATCAATTATAACAATTGTAAGTTTTTATGTGATTCTATAAGATTTATCATTGAATCAGATTCAATATTTTATAATTCTAGAAATAATTAACAATTTTACTAAATATAATGTAACAAAAATATTAAAATATTTATCCTTATAGTTCGTTTGAACTATCTTTTCATATAACAGAACACATTTTTAGAAAATATATATTATTTAGTTCTCTTAAACTATTTTGTTTATCCTAATTTAACGAGTTTCTTTTACATGTTCTGAAATAAATTTTTGCAAATATTCAACTATATATAATTATTTATATTAAAAATCTACTTATAAATAATGGAATCATCAAAAGCAGAATGTTTTGTTTAAAATTGTTGTGTTTCGTTACGTAACAGAAAAGTGGCAAAAGTTACTTACAAATAAATTTTAGTTATATCTTTGTCCTCATATATATAGATATATATATATATATATATATATATATATTGTTCTAATTTTCTTGTTCTTAGTTTGTTAAGATGTTATAAAATAAAATTAGCAAATAAAATATTTTTTAAAAATCAACTATAAATAACTCGTTACGTAACAGAAACGTGTCAGAATTTACTTACAGGTAACAGTTTAGTTACATCTTTATATTCTTTATAACAATGCTATTTTGTTCTAATTTAATATTGTTCCTAATCTTAGGATTCTTGTTTCATTTTTGTTACGTAACAGAAATGTGTCAGAATTTGCTTACAGGTAACAGTTTAGTTACATCTTTATATTCTTCATAACAATTCTATTTTGTTCCTAATTTTAGGTTTTTCCGTTTCATTTTTGTTACGTAACAGAAACGTGACAAAAGATACTAACATATAACAATTTAGTAACATCTTTATAATAATTCTATTTTGTCCCAATTTACTTGTTCCTAATTTTAGGTTTCTCGTTTCATTTCTGTGACGTAACAAAAACGTGTCAGAAGACACTCACATATAACGATTTAGTAACATCTTTACCTTCTTTATAACATTTCTATTACAGATAAAAATATAGTAACATCTTTATATTCTTTATTAACAATTCTATTTAGACTTAATTTACTTGTTTCTGATTTTATGTTTCTCTTTCAAGTTTTATAAATCTGTTTCTATTCTTGTTTGGTTCCTAATTTTAGGTTTCTTGTTTCATTTTTGTTACGTAACAGAAACGTGTCAAAAGTTACTTACAGATATCAATTTTGTAACATTTTTATCATCATTACAACAATTCTGTTCTAACGTCTGTCCTAATTTACTTGTTTCTAATTTTATGTTTCTTGTAAAAGTTTTATAAATCTTTTTCTTTTCTTGTTTGATGGTTATTCGGGTATATCACAAGCAAAGGTATTTGTAGTAGACAGATCACAAAACCAGCTGTGTTTTGTGCCTAAAAAGTAAAAATGATAATTAATAACAATATATGTTACCTTTGCCTAAAAAGTAAAGTAATAATATAAATATAGGAACTAATAATAAAATATTGTGCACAAATATAGCTAAAACATGTAAATTTTGTATTGTTTCATTATCAGTTTTAGAATATGTTTTTTAATTATAATTGTTAATAATAATAATACCCACACTCCCACAAAATGCCTTTGAATCATAATAGTAATAATTATTTTTTTACTAATAACTAAGTTTTACTAATAATAATTTTACTAGTGAAATACAAATCACTAACTCCATTTTACTATTTTTTTTAATTACTACAACTTTTCCATTTTTACAACTTTTACATTTTTTTTAATTACTTCTTGATTCTTGAATAACATTTCTTGATTAAAAACAGTCTTGATTGCACAATCTTGATAAAAGTAAAAAAAAATTATGTGTTTCAAAAAAGTGAAGTCATGAGTAAAATTCTTGTTCAGCCTTTTCACTTTTTGGATAAATAACAATCAACATCAGTTGTAAAACTTGAATTAACAAGCCTAAACAGCTTTGGACCTGCTGGAAATAAAAATATTGAACCAAATCTTGTCCAAACATAACTTTGACAAGATAAAAGATAATTAATTTATCCTGATATGTATCTGGCTCTTCTTACTTACTGAAACACCATTAAATAATTCAATACAAATAAAAATTTATTCCATATCGTACATGCTTCATCAATCATTCAGTATTTAAAATAAACAAATCTTCATTTAATACGAGACTAGAGGATTGCAGAGCCAGTACACCAGCACAGTACTCACAATCAGAAAATGGTTTCGAGCTGCCAAACCGTAGACGAGCCACAGGAATGAGACTATTGTGCCCATGGCGATCAGGGGGAGAGGTAGTGCTGAGGAGTCTTTCTTTCTAATGATTTCACCCTGGAAAAAAGATTTATATAAATAATATATTTTTATAAATCTTATATATAAAATTTTTCTGTAATTGTGTATGAAAGAATAATCCTCTGAAACGAGTATTCGGATTTTGTTAAATCTTTCTGAAGTTTGTTAAGAGAATTTTTTAAGATTATTTGATTTATAGAAATATAGTTAGATTGTAGCAGTAAATGGAAAAAATTACAAAAAACCGCTTATCTTTGTTTGACATTGAAAATTTTTGAGGCGTTTGACATTAAGGGGGTCTTCCTATGTGATGGGTTGAAAAAATCGTTTTTTTAACTTCCCGTAGGGTAAGTTATTGTAATGGGCCGAAAATCGGAATTGAACATTTTTACATTTATCGACGTTTTGAAGGTTTCTGAACATTTTGGCATACTTCAGAAAAAATGGATGTGTGTGTGTATGTATGTATGGATACAAATTTTCGCCCACATTTTCGGGCGTACGGATCAACCGATTTGAATGGTTTAAAAAACATTCGATTTATATTGATAAGAAGATGTGCTGATTAGTTTTTGGCAAAGGCAGGTCCAGCAGTTACGGAGATAAGGAGCAAAGAGTGCAGAAAATAGAAATCGAGTTTTTGAGAGAACGGAGCATCCGATTTGAATGATCTAAAAATCATTCAATTAGTAATAATTGCGAGAAGGGGTTATTAGTTTTTCGCAAAGGCAGACCCAGCCATTACGGAGATACAGAGCTAAATGTACAAAAAATGGCAGTTTTTGAGAGAACGAAGCGTCCGATTCAATTGATTCAAAGAACTTTCTGCTTGTCTTAACAAAATAATTGATTTTGGAAAAAAAAATTATGTTCCATTTTTTTTTTTAGTTTTGTGGATATCGAAAATATTTCAGATTTTATTTTTAATTCTGACTAAAGTTCTAATATACTTTAAACAAGTGATTTTAACTTTTCAATTCAGTTTATATAATTCTTATAAATATTAGACAATGTTACAATATTTATAATAATCTATTTTAAAACGTTTAATATTCCTCGATCATCTCGTTACGGTACGGGAAGTTCCAGCAATTTGCCTCAAGGCACGATGCCGTAATTGCCTAAAGACAGAATTCCACTTACAGCTAGTTTTTTTTCATAAATTGCTCCCTTAACATGTCTAGAATACGGTAGTAAAGCGATTTTAAAAAATTCGAAGTCGTTTTAAAGATACAGCAGGTAAAAGAAAGAGCGGTTCGGAGCGCTGAGTTGGCAGTTAGAAACATTAAATGCGTTTTTCTCAAAACTGTGTTTTTCAAACTCTCCTCCATTGTATCTCAGGCCGGACCGAATTACTTGAAATTTACAGGGCACACTCAATATATTTAAACGCATGGAATGAACTATTATCAATCGAAACTTTGATTTTTTTATAGCAAAAAACAAAAAAAAACGCCTAATTTGCAACTTTTATTATATTTCAAATGTCTATCAAAAATCCAATTTTTTTATATAATCATTTGATTATAGGTCATTCCGTGCTTTTAAGCCTACAAATTAAAACGCCGTTTATTTTTTTTTTCAGATAAGCCGATCAGCCGGAATCGTGGAGAAAGTGGGAGCTCTTCTTTTCGAGGCGGGGGTGTTCAGAGCGCTGTAACTCTAGTTTGACTGAATATTTTTAGCTGAAATTTTATATTTATACTGTCCAAATATGTGTTAATGAATGATAAAAAACTTGAAGCTCTAAATATTTACTGGTCGTAGAAAAAAAATCCTAAAGTATCCGTAAAAAACAGGCCGTCACATAGGAAGACCCCCTTAACATTAAAAACAAATAAAGACTGTAATCTACCAAACATTTCAATTCACTTATAGGCTAAGACAATATTAAAATATAATATATTTATGATTATGAATAATAAAAATATAATGTCTACATTATTATTGCCAAAAAGCAGCTGAGATGTGGCAAAAATTAAAATAATATAAGATACAGTCAAGGTGCGTCTGACGCTTGTGGAATGTCAGTGAATATACCCTATATAATTCTATTTGACAGATATATATATATATATATATATATATATATACGTATATATACAAATACATATATACAAATGTATAAAAGTCATCTTCTTACCAAACGGAAGAGTGGAGAAGCCATTAAAATCAAACTAAGACATGTGATGATCATTCCATATCTACAAAAATACACAATAATCAATATAATAATTATTTCCAATTACTAATTTAATTATTTATTTATCTAATTATTATCAAGTGGCTTTTACATCTTTACCTGAACTCGACTAAAGCAGGGTCTTCAAACCAAGCATATCCAATACAGGTGGCTGTAATGGCAACAGCATAGTTGACATTCTTGGTCACGTCTCTTGTCTGGTGTTCGGAGTCCAAAAAACTGGCGTAAATCATCAGGTAAAACAGATTGAAGAGCATTCCTACTAAACTTATGTACACTGTTGTTGTGTCTCGGAGTATCCAGCCGTAATGGAAACTTAGGATGCTCCTGGTGATAAAAAATAGAGAAATAAATATTTTGTATACTTCCCTAAGGAATATCAAAATATTATTTATTACTGTTTCTATTTATCTTATTCTAAACATACACAACCAATCCACCGATGAATGGCACAGCTGAAATATTCTCGGTGCTCCTTTTTTTAATGATTTCACAGCAAACTAACGAACCAGACATGTATTGTAGGACTGTCATGAAACCTGCCACCATCCCGAGGAAATCTTTGTGTGGTGATAGAGTGTTTGCGATTGTGTCCAAAGTTTTAAGCTAAAATATATAAAAGATATTTTGTTAATACTTATTATTTATATCTTTTAGTTACTATATAAATTTCATGCAATGATTGTACATAATATAAAGATGAAAAATCTATTGTTAATACTTATTATTTATATTATGTGGTTGCTTTATAAATTGTAGGCAATAATTGTACATAATGCTGTCATTCGATTTTTCATAATCCAACTACTTACTTCCCAGTAAGCACGTGATGTTGCAGCAATATTCTATATAAATCCCTGCCAACATCCCCGATGTGACAACAAACCAATGTGGTGTAGATGTTCGTTTAAAATTGCAATTGTGACATACCGATCGGTCGTTTTTTATGAAGGCTATCAAAAGCTATATTTATATTGAGAGAGAACCGTTACATCAAATTATTTTATGTTTTAGAAATTTTAATAATAATTATACATTTTGTTAACATTTTTAAAGTTTATCCGTTATACTGCGGCGCGGCGCTTACGCGCTTCGGTATTTTTTCTCTGAAATAGCCGCGTAGCATTATTGCTTTGAAAATAATTCAAAATTTTCAAAAAAATTTCGAGACAAAAAAATTCAAATTTTTCAAAAAAGTCATATTTTTTTAAAAAATCTCAAGTCTTATTTTTTCAAAATTTTTATCTAAAAATAAAATCAAATAAAAATTGAAATTACGTACTAATTATTTATAATTATAATTATAATTATGTCTCTTTTTAAATCTACAAACTTCCCATAATAACATTTATTGACCTTTTACAACATTATCAGAAGCTTTATATCTTTCTCAATTAATCTGCATCATTTTCAGGCAACTTATATAATTTTCAGACAAATTACATAATTTTCAGACAACTTATAACATTCTTAGACATCATACATTATCAGAAAGCTTACATTTCTAAAACATTTTCAAACAATCTACAATATTCTCAGATAATCTACAACATTTTCAGATAATCTACAAAATCTTCAGACAATCTACAAAATCTTTAGACAATCTACAACATTTCTAGACAACTTACAACATTTTCAAATAACTTAAAAACATTTTAAGATGACTTACAACATTCTTAGAAAACTTACAACATTTTAAGACAACTGACAATATTTTCAAGTAACTTAAAACATTTTCCAACACATTTCCAATATTTTAAAACCATTTGCTTTTTACTTAGACCAATTACAACATTCTTAGACAACTTGCAACATCCTTAGACAACTTACAACATTTTTAGACGACTTACAACATGTTAAAACAAGTCATAACATTTCCAGGCAAATTATATTTATTTAATTATTTAAAGACAACTGACAACATTCCTAGGCAACTTTTTGAATTTTTAGACAACCTACAACATTCTCAGACAATTAACAAAATTTTCAGATAATTTACAATATTTTCAGACATTTTGCAACATTCTCAAACATTTAACAACGTTCTCAGACAATTTGCAACATTCTCATGCATTTAACAACGTTCTCAGACAATTTGCAACATTCTCATGCATTTTACAAGATTATCAGACAGTTGCTACATTTTTATATAACGTACAACATTCTTAGACAACTTACAACATCCTCTGACAACTTACAACATCCTTAGACAACTTACAACATCTTTAGACGACTTACAACATTTTAAAACAAGTCATAACATCTCCAGGTAAATGATATTTATTTATTTATTTATTTAAAGACAACTTACAACATTCCTAGGCAACTTATTGAATTTTTACCCAACCTACAACATTCTCAGACAATTAACAAAATTTTCAGATAATTTACAATATTTTCAGACATTTTGCAACATTCTCAAACATTTAACAACATTTTCAGGCAACTGGCAACATTCATGCATTTTAAAACATTATCAGACAGTTTGCAACATTCTCATGTAACTCACAACCTTTTAGGACAACTTACAATATTTTTAGAAAATTTATAACTTTACATTTCAGATAACTTACAATCTTATCAGACAACTTAGAATAATTTCAGATTATTTATAACATTTTTAAACTAACTTACAACATTTTTAAACAACTTGCAACATTTCAATATAACTTACAACATTTTAATATAATTTACAACATTCTTAGACAACTTACAATACTCTCAAGTAACTCGCAACAACATTTTTCCCCTTAAACTTAAGAGTTTCAGACAACTTATAACATTTTCAAACAATTTTAGCATTTTCAGACAACTTACAACAATTTTAAATAATTTACAACATATATATATATATATATATATATATATATATCAGGCATCTAACAACACTTTATTATAATTTCCAACATTCTTAGACAACTTACAATATTCTCAAGTAACTCGCAACAACATTTTTCCCCTAATTACAACATTTTAAGAAACCTTGCAACATTCTTAAACAACTTATAACATCTATAAACCACTTACAACATTTTCAAGCAATTTCCTACATTTTAAGACAACTACAACATATTCAGACAATCCAAGTACAACATTTTCAAACAACTCACAACAATTTCTGACAATATACAACATAATTTACATCGACAATTTTATACATTTTTAATAGCTAATTAACTTTTCTAATCATGTAATTGATTTATATTTTTTTTATTGCGTATAAATTATTCATCATGTATACATAAGTCTTTTTTACCAAATTTATAAAAGTAAAAGCAATATATTTATAAAATCAAGAGTATCGATATATCAATGCCAAAACTTTTACCACTTCAACTAAAGTGAATGTTTTATTCATTCTGCAATATAAACCTAATGATTAATAATTTATTAAATGAATTAAAAATATCTATAGATTATAATAGATTTTCTTGAATAGAAATGAGTAGATAATTATATTAGTTAAGTAAGAGTAGTAGATCTGATATCGTAAACTTGTGATACATACCTGTGATACATTCAATTGTATTTGTAACAAGGTTTTTTATGTACTACAATATAGTAGAAACAAAAATATCTATTTTTTACAATTGATTTTCTTAAATAGAAATGAGTAGATAATCATATTAGAAAAGTAAGAGTAGTAGATCTGATATTGTAAACTTGTGATACATACCTGTGATACATTCAATTGTATTTGTGACAAGGTTTCTTATGTACTACAATATAGTAGAAATAAAAATATCTATTTTTTACATTTGATTTTCTTGAATAGAAATGAGTAGATAATTTTATTAGAAAAGTAAGAGTAGTAGATCTGATATCTTATACTTGTGATACATTCAATTGTATTTGTGAAAAGGTTTCTTATGCGTAATTATTGCATTTTACATATAATTTCCATTAGTCGAATCATTGTAAGAATAACAATGTAAGAATGTAATTCCTCAATAATTTATAGTACAAAATAATGATAACAAATCTTATTGATTATTAAATAAGACATTTGTATTGACAAATAGATTCAGGAATTTCTTTTTATACGAAAAAGTATACTATTAATTTTAAGCAAAAAGTACTCAATACTCAAAGTAAAATGAATAAAACATGAATTTATACTAAATATTTTTCTATTTAATTTTCTTTACCATTTTGTTCCTCTTTTTCTCTCCTCTAACCCTGAAGTTCAGCTGTGAATTTAGACTTGAATTTTGTTGCTAATTTTATAAATTTACATTATCTGAAGCATTTTCCGAATTTTGTGGATGTTTTTAGCATTTTAATTCTAATTAATTCTACATAATATCAAATAAAATCGAATAAACAAAAATTACACAACTGGCTCCTCCGACCCATCACGACTGTCACCTGTCAACTGTCAGATTGACGCACGTGGAGATTTTGACATTGAAAAGTAATTGTAAGGGTGCCTCCACACAAAGGTAAATCATAAGGGTTGTTGCAGACATTAATGCATTTTATTATAAATGTATGTTTTACATTATTTAAAATTATTCTTATTTTTATATTTTATTTTGTGCACAAAAAAGTAAATATAAATGTACAAGTTTTGTGTCTTGTTAAAGTATATTGTTATTTTACTTGTTTCTATAGTTAATGTAGTTAGTTAGTTAACATCTAATATAAAGGATGATTAGTTCCTACTACAATACTACAAACTAGCTGTAAGTGGAATTTTGTCTTAAGGCAATTAAAGCATCGTGCCTCAAGGCAAATTGCTGGAACTTCCCGTACCAAAAATTATTATTTTTTTAAAAACGATTAACATTTTTGAAAAAAATTTACTTCGAAAAAATAAGATTTTTGAGAAACTATAAATTGGACAAAAAATCACTTTTTTTTTTACTTTGACATATTTTGGAAAACCTGAACTTTTTTTCAAAGCAATCGTACTGCTTTAACTGCATAGAGACGAAATCTCAAAGCGCGTAAGCGCCGCGTCGCCGTCTAACGGATAAACATTGGTACGGAACCCATAGGAATGTAAACAAAATTTATATTTATTGTTAAAATCTCTATAAAATATCTGATAATTTGATGTGCATATGTCTAATGATCATTTTTGACCGCCAAATGGTTTTTTTTTTTACTTTCTCCATTAGATCTCAGAAACCGCTAGACCTGCCTTCATGAAAATTTGATCAATTCTTCATCTTGTCAATACAAGTAAAATGTTTTTTGAATTATTAAAATCGGACGCTCCGTTCTCTTAAAAACTGAGTTACCGTTTTCGGCACCTTTTTCCTCTTATCTTCGGAACGGCTACACCTGCCTTTGCCAAGAGCTAATTAGCACATCTCCTTATCAATACAGATCGAATGTTTTTTGAATTATTCAAATCGGTTGATCCGTGTTCCCGAAATCGTCGACGAAAATTTGTATCCAAACACACATACATACAGGCACATACACACACATACATCCATTTTTTCTAAAGTATGCCAAAATATTCAGAAACCTTTGAAACGTCGAGAAATGCAAAATTTTCATTTTCGATTTTTTTGCGATTACTATAACTTGCCCTACGGGAAGTTAATAATTATTTAACATCTTCTAAAAATGATTAATGACTCAACGAATTAAGCTAATTAAATTACTAATGTCAACTTCATTTTTAATAAAAAATATATATACCATAAATAATTTTAACTCAATAATAATGACAAAAAGCGTAATTATACATATTTTGTGCCTTAATAAATATTTATTTCACTTGCTTCTATAGTTTATGTAATTAGTTATTTAACATTTAATAAAAATTATTATTAATTTATAAATTCAGCTAATTAATTTCTTAATAACACTCGTTAATGTAATTGATTATTTAACATCTAATAAAAATAATTAATGATTTAACAAATTAAACTAATTAAATTATTAATTGGCAACTTTATTTTTATTAAAAAATAATTTCAGTCTTATACAATCATATATATAAGAGATTACAAATATATTTTTATCATTATTTTAAATTAGTATTTTTAGCCAGATATGTCAAAACATATATTTAATAAAAAAAATAATATTAAATTACGTAATATTTTTTTAAATAATAATTTTAGATTTTTTAATCAGTTCAATTTTAATACAAATAAGTAAACATTTATTTTTAATTAATTCTAATCAATAGCTTTCTGTTTATAGTAGTTTTTCTAACTTTGTATTTTAAATTTACTTATACCCAGATTTTTTACAAAAGAAAAATATTTGATAATATAATACATTCATAATGTATAATGTTATATTATATCATTAATTTTTAAGTTTTACTTGCTTTTCTTTACGGATAGTTATATGTAAAAATACTAATTTATAAAATAATATATATATATATATATATATATATATATTTTATGATAATATAAAAAATAATATATTTTTATGATAACCGTATAAAATTATTAAATTATTAAATAATCTTTTGTGTAAAATGCACCGATTAAGTGCATCAATTAAAGTTCACAGAAAATGTTAATGTATATGCAACTAAGTAAATATTTATTTCAGTTTTTTTTTTAAAAAGAAATGTATTTATTGATTTAAAATATAATAAAAATTTAATGCATCCAGAAACCTACGTTAATATTGGGAGCTTTATTCTTATAAAAAAAATTGTACACTTAATTATATTTTTTTTTTGAAAATTGAAGCATAAATTGTATTTTGAAAAATTAATGTTTAATTCATATATAAATGTTTAAAACAGATATATAATTATAAACTACATAAAATTATGTGATTGTTGCAAAGAATATTAATTACTAATGAAAATATAATGTTGATAAATATTTAAAAATAATAAAATAAATTATAAAAAAAATAAAATATATTAGATCATAGATAAAAGAAGAGTATATGTATTATTTATTAGATATTTGGAAAATTTTTCATTTTTTGAAATTGAAACATAAATTTCCCATGTTAGATTTTATTGAATTTTTTTAAAATTATATTATAATAAATTTTGAAAATTGAAACATAAATTGTATTTTGAATAATTAATGCTTAATATATATAAATGATTAAAATTAATATATAATAATTATAAACTAAATAAAATTATGCCTATAATAATTGCCAAAAATATGAATCACTAATAAAAATATAATGTAATATCTATAAATATTTCATAAAAATAAAATCTGTGGATAGATACCTTTGAATATTTCATAAAAATAAAACTGCAAAATATTTGTTTAAAAAAAAAAACATGGATTTGATATCATTTTCAAGTTGAGTAAAAAGAAAATTTGTGTAAATATATAATTCAAAATGAATCCTGTAAACTAAATACATATAATACTGTTTAATATAAAATATTTACTCTATTTATTATTTGCTTCTCTATATAGTACAAAATTTACAATATTTACTACAAACTACTATATCATAAAAATACAAGAAATATTCTAATCATTAACAAAATAACACTACCAACAACTTACATCTTCTCGGTAGTATTATCTACATCTTCCTTCTTCATGCCAACATTTTTATCCCTACTCTGATTTTTTGGTTGTGCAATTTTACCTAAAATATCATGTACTGGTACTGGTCGTACAAAATGAGGACCTTCTTTGTCATAAGCTTCCTGCTTTGCTAATTCTTCTGGAGTCTTTGTCATGGGGACTGATGATTTAGTGACAGGGTCTGATGGGAAGACTTCTTTCTCTGGAACCATTGTTGTTTGAACTAGAAGGTAAAAAAATGTATAAATAATTACGAGTAAAAATTGATTTTAATCATCTGTCTATTTATCTTGTACCTTGTTTGCTGTCCATAGCTTGTCGAGCAGTCCTGGCATGTGGTTTCCACTCATTGTTGACGAAGGAACCAGAATGGGTATGTCCTGGTAATAAAATACAATTTGAATAACTATCAACTAATTAATAAATATATGTATATATGTATTTCTATTAACCTGCGATTGGACGAACAGTCAACATTTGATCATTCTTCGAACCATAAGGTTGAGGTTCAGTTGCTGGTGGCATTGTTCCTGGGGCTTGCGTGGGAGGTACCATTGTTGCTGGAGGCATTGTCGGTTTTTGAGTACCTGGAGTTTGAGTCGGAGGGACAGTTCTAAAAACAAGAAATATTTAATAATAAATTATTGATTGGTACAAGCACTTGACCGTCTCATAGATCAGGATGTACTGTAGAATATTTAAAATGGTGCTTAAGTCTTTTCTACTCACGTTGTTTTATGTTTATGCCAAAAACCACATTTCAAACCAACACAAGCATTTGTTTCTGCATTTAATTCATGTTCTTGTTGCTGTTGTTGTGATCCAGAAGATGAGGCTTCACCAGGTACTTGCAGTTTCAACGAAGCGCCGTTGGCGCCACTTTCTAAGAAAGATGAATAAAAAAAATAAAATTTTTGAACAATTTAGAGTTGTTTATTGCCTGCAAATGAAATTACAACAAATACTTCTAAATTTATATTATTTAATTCTGTTCAAACTACAATCTACTGATCAACTACATCTACAATTGTTCATTAGAATAATAAAAAGTTCTTAACAATCGTATATAATGTTGCCAACTTGCCATTTTGTTGCTTCTGAGCATCTTCCTTAACTCCATTGCCATCAGCAGACCGAGTCTTTCTCACATTTTCATCAACTTTTTGCACCGGAACCTCTGGTGGATTTACCACAGTTATCTGGATGTTCTCCTCCTCCAGTTTGTGGGTTTGATCCACTGGTGAAGTAGTTGTTGTGGTTTGAACATCACGTTTCGGTTTCATTTGTCCAGGACGTAAAGGTTTTTGGGTAGTAGACATTCCTGTGCCCGGTTTGCGACGTCTTTCGCTCGGTTCAACAGTGGATGGTGTGCAATCTGATCCGACACACGTGGTGCTTCTCTTAGTTTTGGCCGAAACTTCCTGATGAAGATTTTTGTTTGAATCGGAAGTTGGATTAGTTGAAACTTCGTGATGGTGGTCTTCGTGTTTGTCCAAATTGGTAGTTGGATTTGTAGTCTCAAATCCACCACATTTAGCTTTATCTCCTTGGCATTTGGTGCCAGGTGTTGGTGTAGGTGCATATCCTGCACATCTAACTTCCCTTGGTGGTGATTCTTCAAAATCTCGATCGATTTTCTCGTGTTCTTCATATTCTTCGCGATTTTCTTGACTTAAAGACTCGTGTTTCAAGTTGATTTTGATGTCGATTGCACGACGGTACCTAAAAAATATATAAATAATATTAAAAGTAATATATTTTGTCATAAATAATATTGTATCCCTTACCTTTGTGGTTCTGGTTGGTATTCATCACTATCTTCTGCAGATTCCTCCTCTTGTGTCTGCTGAGAGTTGGAATTATCATAAGTCTGAGGTTGATCATAAAATGTTTGCTCCTCAGACGAGTCATAAGTTTGCCTAGTTTTCCTCACATTCGTTGCTTTGGTGCTAACTTCTTGATGACCACTGGTGGATGAAACCTTTGGTGCGGATGTAGAAGTCCTCACAACATATTCAGGTTTCTGTTTCAAATTATGTTTATGGTCCTCATTGGATCTCCTATGTCTTTCTGCAGGTTTCTCAGTAGGTTTGTCCCAACTCTCAACTCTGGTATGATCTTCAACAACTTTCTCATCAGGTTTGGGCTCAGAGACAACATCAGGGTTCACAGGAGACGGTCTGGTCAACAACAGAATATCCTGTCTGACTTTTCTATTTAAGTAGGCTTCAGTGCTAGTCTGAGGATGGGTTTGTTCAGTTTTTTGATCAGGTTTGTGGGTCTCAAACGTAGGATTGTCTTGACGTCTCAGTCTTGAATGTTGATCAAGGTTAGGAGTTGTTGTGGTAGTGGTAGAAGAAGCGTCTAGTGTTAGTTGGCCAGTTGGTGAAGTTTTGAGTGAGTGCAGATTAAACAAAGCAGGATTGACGTCTAAAGTTTGAGGTTTGGGTTGTGGATTTAGGTCTAAAGTTGCAGGTTTGGATTCCTCACGTACTTGCAGCAAGTGTGTAGGCAAAGGTTGGTTGTTGGTTTGTTGTAACAAGTCTAAGTTTGTGGGATTTTGTGAACCAGTTGTTTGTGGTTTGACATCTAAAGTTTGTGGTTTTAAGTCTTCTCTGACATTCAATTGATGAGCAGGAAGTCCTTGTTGGTTGTTTGTTGGATTTAACAAGTCTACATTATGGAAAGTTTGTTGGTTACCAGTTGGCGTAGTTGTTTCAGTCTTACCATCAAAAGCTTGTTGATTCTTCAAGTCTTCTCTGACTTTCAACTGATGTCCAGACAAATCATGATCATAATTTACAGGATTTAAACTGTGATAACTTGTTGTAAAAACTTGCTCATTATTATGCTTTTCACCAGCCCCTGTTGTTGTTTCAATCTTACCATCAAAAGGTTGTGCTTTCAAATCCTCCCTGACTTTTAATTGATGTTCAGGTAACTCTTGGTGATCTCTTGTTGGATTCAAATTATCTGCAGCACCAGTGTCCGGTAACTGGACTGCTTTTTCATTAGCATTATGTGATCCTTGGTGTTCCACTTGGTGTCCTTTAGGAATAATTTGTACATGTTCATGATTGGCCAAACTTGGTTCAGACGTGGCAACTTGGTCGAAGGAAGATTTCAGGAGCTCCTGGTTGGCGGGATGAACATTTGCGCCGGCATCTTGATTGAAGGGAGCAGCCAAGGAGGTTGCCAGGAGCAAACTCAGAGCGCAGAGTCGCGCCTGAAAGGAATTAATAGAAGTATATAATAAAGGATATAGCATAATAGTAAACAGTATATAGCAAAGCTTATATCTAATCATGGATCAAATAATAATAATTAAATTGACAATAATTGGATAAATAACTAAATAATAATGAATTGAAATGATGCATATATAAATGTAATTTGCAACTACAGAGTAATACCCATATATCATTAGCGCCTTTTTTTAGTTATTTTCACATGTAAAACAATGTAAATTTTTATTTCCATTTATCATGTTTTGTTCTCACTGTTTAAAGTTTAAACTAATTTAAAAATTAATTGAAGCAAAAGAATCCAGATTTTCTTTCTTTCTAGTGTGGTTTAGTAAATTTGTTAATAATTAGTATCATTATTTTTAAATACTTTAGTACCAAAAATATAAGTTGTGTTATTGAGACCTATAAAAGCTTGTTGAAGCAATTGCATAAAAAAAATCATATAGTTTTTCAAAATCGTTATTGATAGACGTTTCCACATCTAATTTTATGTAATACTCAGTAAAACTATAATGAGCATAAACAAGAGGAAAAATTAGAAAAATAGTTTATTTGTATTTTGTCTCCATGTTCACAGAGTTTGTAAATTTTTCCACAGAATTGTAAATTGACACTGAAATATTTTTCCACAAAATTGAAATTGATGAAAACACAATTATACATACAGACAAAAAGAAGACTATTGACAATAAAGGAAAACATTATTTAATTAAAAAAATGGAATGATAAAATTGAGTTAAAACATTTCTCATTTTTAACTTTCTAAATTATTAATATATGTTATATAATTAATAAAAATATAATCGACTTACGATCTGTTTCATATTGAGAAACTAAAATACACTGTAAAAATATTCAACTATTTCGCATATCACTTATTTTTCGAAACTGGCAAATAATTTACACCCGGACTTATATTTATATAATAATTTATATTTGTATAGATGATAAATATATATACACACACATATTTATATATATGCATATATACATATATGCATATACATATACAAATGTATGTTTGAAATGTTTGCTTAAAAGCGCGAAAATTTAACAATAGAATAACTGCGATTCTCTAAAACTTATCGTGATCTAAATATTAGACGAAATGTGCCAAAATATTCTTAAAATTTCATATTTATATATATATATATATATATATATATATATATATATATATAATATGAAGGCGTTGACCTTAATCCTAACCTTACTTTTTATTATCACCAATAAATAAATCTGGAGCTTTTAATTTATAACGAATTTTATATAACATATTGCTTTTTTAATTACTAATAATTATTTAATAATTTATTTTATATTAATGATATTATTATTATACTCTATAAATACGTTTAAAGTAAAATTATATGTATCATCGGTTCAAAACTATAGTTTATTTGCTCAAAACGGACGCCATCTTGAATTTGAAACGTCAAAGCTAAAAAACTAAAATTATATGGATGTTAATTAATAATTATTATTTATAAACAAACGGAAATTAACTCGAAACATTAAAACTAAAATTCTATGAGTCTTAATTAATAATTATTATTTATAAACAAATGGAAATTAACTCAAAATGGACGCCATTTTGAATTCCAAACGTCAAAACTAAATTATAATTTCAAATTCAAAATGGCGTTCGTTTTGGGTTAATTTCCGTTTTATAAAAATTAAAGAAAGATAATTATTAATTAAGACTTATATAATAAAATTATATCGAAAATTTTGATTAAATTTTTTATTTCAAACAATATAAATTAATATTGTTGTGTAGCATAGTTGTTTTAATTTTCATAAACTTTTGTATGAAGGAGTAATTCTCATTTTGGTTCTTCAATGCCTTTAGTTTTAATTTTGTATTTTACAATTATAATACAACTTGTTTCATTATTTAACACATTAAAATAACCACCAAATTATATTTAACATTATAATAACCACCAACATATATAAATTTATTAACTTCCCGTAGGACGATTTGAAGGTTTCTGAACGTTTTGGCATACCTCAGAAAAAATGGATGTGTGTGTGTGTGTATGTATGTATGGATACAAATTTTCGCCCACGTTTTCGGGCGTACGGATCAACCGATTTGAGTGGTTCAAAAAACATTCGATTCCTATTGATAGGGAAAAGAGCTGATTAGTTTTTGGCAAAGGCAGGTCCAGCCGTTTCGGAGATACAGAGCAAAGAGTGCAGAAAATAGAAAGCGAATTTTTGAGAGAACGGAGTATCCGATTTGAATGATCTAAAAAACATTCAATTAGTAATGATTGGGAGAAGTGTTTATTAGTTTTTGGCAAAGGCAGGCCCAGCCATTTTGAAGATACGGAGCTAAATATGTAAAAAATGGCAGTTTTTGAGAGAACTAAGCGTCCGATTTAAATGATTCAAAGAACTTTCTGCTTGTCTTAACAAAATAATTGATTTTGGAAAAAAAATTTTGTTCCAATTTTTTTTTTAGTTTTTTGTATATCGAAAATATTTCAGATTTTATTTTTAATTCTGACTATAGTTCTAATATACTTTACGTAATGAAATTTGTAGCATATTTGTTTTTTCCAAAAAATCATTATAATATAAATGTAAAATATGAAAAGCATTAAAATATGAATGTTTAATTAATATGTTGTGCCTATATAAGCCGATTATTAACCTTCCATCGACGTTTTGCAGAAACGACTGAACCGATTTCAGAAATTTAAAAGTCATTCTTTATAAAACTCGATTTGAGCAACGATCGGCCAAGCAATTTCTTTAGAATTAGAAACAAATTTTACCACATCGACATCAAAAACGGTTGTACCGATTCCAAGAGTTTAAAGCCATTGGATGTAACTTGATAAGGGCTCACGTTGATTAGTTTTGGCAAAACGATCGGCTGAGCCGTTTCTTTATAATTAGCAGGTATGTGCAGAAGTACAAAAAAAAATCTGAACCGATTTGGAAATTTTGAAAGCGTTTGAAAGAGATATGGTAGATAATCGTACTGATTAGTTTCGGTAAATTTCAGTCAAACCGTTTCTTCTTAATTATTAAAACTTTAGCATAATGATAGAAGCAGTTGAATAGCCGATTGATTCTATTATTAAGTTAATGCAACTTGCCTTGAGATAAATTGCCATTTACAACTAGATTTATATTTAAATTGATATCTCAGAAATATTCCGACTTGTGAATAAGTTTGTTTATGTAGATTATACGCTAAATGATTTCTTCACGAAAAAATATATTACAGGAAATTTGAATCATAATGCAAACATTATATTTATACATATATATATATATATATATATATATATATTGTTATATAAATTTACGTTTACTAATATAAATGATTATCACATTTCAAAAGTTATTTTGAAACTAAAGAAATTTTATTGCAGAATTTAGGTTGTTCGATTTGTAATCTGCAAACACGTGTTTAAAATAGATTTTATTATAAAACTAGTGGGTGCACAATATTGTGCCTTAAGGCAAATTGCTGGAACTTCCCGTACCGTAATTACAAATCTTGTTACGGAAACCAAAAAATTAAACAAAATGTGTACACATTATTAAAATCTCTATAAAATATCTTATAATTTGTTGCACATATGTCCAATAAACATTCTTGACCGAAAAATGACATTTTTTAACTTATTTTTATTGAGAGTCCATAACCGCTGGACCTGTCTACCCAGAAATTTAATCTGTTTTTCATCTTGTCAATACAAGTAAAATGTTTTTTGAATTAATAAAACCGAACACTCCGTTCTCTTGAAAACTAAGTTAAAGTTTTTAGCACTTTTTGCCTTGTATATTTGGAACGGCTGCACCTGCCTTCGCCACAAACTAATCAGCACATCTCCTTAACAATACGAATCGATTTTTTTTTGAATTATTGAAACCGGTTGATCGGTGTTGCCGAAATCGCCGACGAAAATTTGTATCCGTACACACACTTATACATCCATTTTTTCTAAGGTATGCCAAAATGTTCAAAAACCTTTGAAACGTAAAGATTTATAAACATTTTCATTTTCAATTTTTTGCCATTACTATAACTTACCCTGCGGGAAGTTAATAAAATATTATAATATTAAATTATTATCAAATATATTAGGTTTATAAAATTATTGATTGAGACCAGATAGAATCAAATAGTATTTATAATTTAATTAATTTTCTGTACAAAGTATGACCTCATAATAAAAAATCTCTTATAATAAAAAATTTCTTATAATAAATTATGTTTTTTTTAATGTTTTTCTGTGATAATAAGTCTTTTACGACGTTATTTGTTCAAAATAATAATAATAATAATAGGTATACTGTGTATATTTGGTATTTTTTTTGTGAAATAGCATTTAAAATGCTTTTATGTTATATATTACGACAAGAGAAAGTTTGTTATTAAACGTGGTGAAATTTGTTGTTAATTCTAAAGAAAATGTAAACAAAAACACAAATTTTGTCACACAAACACACATTTTTTAATTTTGGCGCCAATCGATTCAGAATGACTTGAAACGTAAAGGAAACAATCGAATTTTCTGGTCACAATATAAATGCTAATAAACATCAACAATAATATTGTTTATAAATCCATGGTTAACTGCAGACTTAAACACTTATCAACAGGTGAACCAACTTACTGGCCTGGAGACACTTCTAAAATTCCAGACCTTCTAGACTTCTGTATATTCAAGGGTATATTAGACGAACAATTAAAAGCTGAATCAAGTCTTGACTTATCTTCTGACCACACTCCAATCGTTGTTACATTTAGCTCAAAGTTCAAATTGCAATCTAAAAGTCCATCATTAACAAATAAAAAAACTAATTGGGAATTATTTTCTAAATATATTGATGACAATTTATGCTGCAAAGTACCTCTAAAAAGTACAGATGATAATATTGATAATGCAATAGGTATTCTCAATAAAAATATCACTGATGCGGCTCGGTATTCTACACCCACAAATGATATTGTTGAGCGATTTTTCTGTCCACTCGAAGCTAAAAGACTTATAGCCTGTAAAAGAAAACTGCGTAGAAGGTGGCAAAATACTCATTTTCCGGATGACAAAGCTAAACTGAATAAAGCTATTAAGGAACTTAAACAATATTTGTTTGATTTAAAAAATAAACATATGGAGTCCTACTTAAGTGATTTGTCTGTTCACGACCATTCCATTTGGAAAGCCACGAAAAATATGAGAAGACCAACCTCCACGGTATCTCCAATTAGAAATGATGATGGTTCTTGGTCTAGATCAGCTGAAGACAAAGTTATTACCTTTGCAAATCACCTTGAAAAGGTCTTCACTCCTCATCCTTGTAATGTACCTAACGAACAATTTATCACAGATTACTTGAACGACAGTAATTTCACAGACGAACCCATTCCAAAAATTAAGTATTCTGAAGTGCTCTACGAGATTAGTAACACTAAATTGGGAAAAACTCCTGGTAATGATGCGATTACATTTGGTCTTATAAAACACCTTCCTGATAAAGGTAAGAGATTTTTAACTATATTATTTAATGCCATAATACGGCTGAAGTATTTTCCTTCATCGTGGAAATTGGCGAAAATAATCTTAATTCTGAAGCCTGGAAAAAATCCTACTGATGCAGTTTCCTACCGGCCCATTAGTCTTCTGTCTTGCCTCTCAAAAATTTTTGAAAAAGTTATTCACAAAAGAATCATAAATATTTTAGAAGATAACAATTTTATGCCAAAACATCAATTTGGGTTCATTAGACAACACTCAACAGTAGAACAAATACATAGAGTTGTGGATTCCATTTATAAAGCCTTTCACTTAAAAAA